GTAATTCTATCGACTGTAGACACAATTCATCAGTCTCAACAAGTTTTCTGATAGGATGAAATTAAGCTATCTTTAAGATTAAAATTAGTATCTTTTATAATAGTTCATTATCAATATGTTTGAACTAATATGAAAAATTAGTCCCTTTAACAATTGAATGGAGTAAACAAGTTTGCTACAGGAGCGGATCCAGGGGGTGCAGCCGCACCCCCCCTTGAGCGAAAAATATTCACTTTCTCCCTGCGTAAATACTTATTTTTAGCCCTCTGCACCCCACATTGAAAATATTTGCTGCACTGTACTGCACCTTCCTAGAAAGTTTGCTGGATCCGCCCCTGGTTTGCTATGAAACATAAATAGTGAATAAGAAGTTCTCACTTTGTCTTGAATAACTTTGTTTCTTCTCTGAAAATGTGTTTGTATGCTTTTTTTTTTTTGAACATTCTGATGGAATCAAAAAAACAAAACTCTGTTGTTTTTGTGACAGAATTATATAGATATTCAATAAATTCTATGGCAAATTTATTGTTACGTGCTACATAAGAATTATTGAATCTCACTAGGGAGTATACTATCTGCTCTATTTAGTACGTGTTATTGTTCTATTTTGAAAATGAAAATAAATCAATAATGATTGGCTGAAAATTCTCATGATAATCATATTTCATTTTCTTTAGAGTAAAGATACATATTTACCATTATCTTAAAAGTAATTGTCTAATATTTTTCAGTATATTTATATATTCTTCACATTTAATGCATTTGATTTCTATTAAAAAAACAAACTTCTTTTCATTAAGATATAACGTATGAAATTATGTTGATGTTTGTTAAAATGCAGGATATCCTTAATCTTGACAATCTTACTCTTAACATATTTACATGTCTAACATCTTTTTTTTTCTTTTATTTCTTAAATGGCTGTTGTTCAAAAGACAGATTAATAGAACCAACGAGATCTAATGAACTGATTTCAAAATTTTTGACTAGGATACTATGGATTATAAATTGTCAGAAATTCTAGATAATTCAATAGCCTAATTTTACAGCATCTAGAATAAGTGAATATAATTTTGTTTCAACGAACAATTCTCTATAAAATGAGTTATAATAATTTCAAGGAAGTTCTTGAAATTAATTTTATTTGAATTTCCGAAAAGAAAAACTATTTTGTTTTTGTCCTTTAATAAAATTATTATATATCTCAATCAAACAAATACAATAGAAAACTCATCAAAATATTTTCATTGTATAGATGATAGTTTACTTATTTATCATTCTATATAGTATTATATTTATATATGTTTGAAATATATCGAAAAATTAAATTTTTTGATTTTCGAAAGTTTCGATCTTTGCAAATTTGATAATAATAATTTTTATTTCTTTATATTCTTATTGAAAATTTTTGTTACTGATACTCATTGTAAATATAAATCTATTTAATTGAAGAAAGAATAAATAAATATTTTAGTACTTACAAACAAAAATGATATGATTGTTATAAGATTATGAGTAGTAATAATATTTTAATGAAAATGAAAGATTTTATCTATGTGAGGTATCACAATGATGGTTTATAACTTTTTTTTTGTTTTGTTTTTTAGTGAGTAATAAATATTATTTTCCTATATATTTTCATCCATGAAATAATGTATTGTATAATAGACTAATATGTTTTACTACTTGAGTGAACATGAATAGTACATTTATATATCTCTAACCTTCGATATAATGAAATTCTTTTTGTTATATTTTAGACATCTTATAAATAAGTTCATTAAAATTTCTATTTTGTTTTGTATGATTTTAATGAACCAAATAAGAAATTGTAAGAGAATGACAAGTTTACGACGCCCTTTTCAAGTGCATTTCTTTTTTTTTTTGACTTAATATTTATGATGAAACTATTAAACTTTGTAAAGATTCCTATTCTTATCATATTATTAATGTTTCTATTTATATTTCAATATGAACAGTCAGAAATATAATCTAAAAAGTTTCAGATCACAATACTTTTTTTTTCTTTTGGTTATTGAATTTGTTTTAGTTTCATCTATTGAAAAAGAAATTGGTTCATAAACAAAATCTTATAAATATAGAAAGTATATTTTTGTTTTTTTTTTTTCTTTGACCAATCTCTATGTATATTGTACTTAGACTCGACTATAAAAATATATAATCATATTACATTCATGCTATGTTGTTTGATTATACGGCTAGAAAATAAAAGCAGATGCGGCGAGGCTTTTCATCTCGATTGTGTTTCAATAATATCATCATGATTTAATCAATAAATATAATATGAGATGAATAAAAATTTTTGTAATATCTATTCTTTTTTTTTTTTTTTAATGAAAAGCAATGTTAAAATAAAAATTTAAGATCTACTACATACAGATTGTATTTCAATTATATCTCGTTCTAATCTATGAATGATTTTCCTATAGTATTATTGAAGGATTAAGTTAAATGATAATGAAAACATCTGTATCAAAATAAATAGAATAAAATAATCGTCTTGTGATTAGCAAGAGTAGCTACATCATATTTTTTATATATTAATCACCTAGGAATTGCGTGAGATACTTTTTCTTATATAGATTAATTAAAACAAGAAAACTATGAACCTGAAGTTATTCAATCAAGAGGAAAAAACTGTCTTACTTTAGCTTACTATAATGATATGTCGAAGTTATCAACAACAATTGTTTTTTTTCTTTTTTTTTGGTTAGTTATTTTGATTATATTGTTACCATATGTCATAGGTACATTGGTTTAGATGCATTCTATATAAATTTATCAGATAAAAAAAAAAATAATGAATATTATCGGAAATATTTATATAGAATCAATTAAAATTGATCTAATCATGACATGCATTAATAGTAGACTTAAAATTTGTTAGAAGATAAATATATGTAGTATATAATTTTTCACTTTTTCTTCTACATAATGAATAAATTAAATTTGTTCTAATCTTCAGAATGCTACAGATGTAAAGATTATAAAATAAAAAAAGCGATTATTATATAGTAATAATCATTTAATATATTATCTATTTATTAAGTATTAGGAGAATTATATATGATTAATTATGTGAAATCTCATTTTGTTGAATTCTAACAATTTGTACCGAAATATCAATAATTCAAATTTATTATTCCTTATGTTGTTTTTTTTTTTAAGTATAAAGTATGTAATGTGTTACATCTTATAAATATGTTTACTTTGAACAATGAATAAGATTAAAAACTGTATCAAAAAGTAAAATTAATATTCTTTTTTTGCTTCGACAATATACAAACTAAATGTCAAATATAATCGCGAAAATAAATTGAAGACTATTCTATCAATGACAAGTTGAACAACAAAAAAAAAACTTATTTCTCAAACAATTTCATATATCTTTCTTACCTGTGTTGATGTACATAATAGAAGATGTGTCATTATTAAGTAAGTCGAAAGAAAAAAAAAAAAGATCTGAAAGGCAAAAAAAAATATCAAAAGAAAAAAACCTTTTAGCCAAAATTCTTAGGAGATTATAATATGAAACACAATGTAACTGTTATAATGAGTTATAGAGAAATTCTTTTATTCTATCTATTCAGAGACATATTTTTTTCACTATTCTTTTATTTAATCATTGAGAAATGCAATAAGGAAGTAGTTCATATATCAGCATGAAACATTATTAACATACGGTCGATGATCATAAATCTATGTCTTTCATAATTTGTAGCATAGAGAGAGAGAAGTATTTTCAAGATATCCGTTATGATTGAAGATCTACTCGATACTTCAATTAATAGTCGTAATTCGAATTGATATAAATTTATTTATTCAATCGTCATACATTTATAATCAGATTTAATTTATGATAGTACATTCATCTTAATTTAATATAATAGTTATGAACATGTAAACTTTTACTAATTTACAGGAAGATCTTACATTTCTTTTAGATCCGGTTTTATAAAAATTATGTATACATCCTATAATTTATTATTGTCAATCTGAATATTCTATAAAAAAAAACCGTTTAATCTTACACTGACATTCATTCTAGATGCAATGGAAATACTTAGATAATTTATTATTTACAATTGTAAAATGAATACAATATGTCAAAAAATAATAAATATATTTTGTGTAATCTAACAAAACATCCCCTCCTTTTTTTTTCTTTTATTTCTAGTCTGTATTTCTATGTTACTTTATTTTTCTTAAATTAACATTGAAATACTTTGCATAACTATATATATAAGTTTCGTCTTAGATTGTTGTGAATTTCTATTAGTAATAATAGGCTTCTTGTTATTATTATTAACGTTGTACTCATTTTGAACAAAAGAATAATATAGTATCTATATATCGTTAATCTTGTATAACGTGTCTAGATATATTATGACCGAGTTGAATGATAAAATTATAAATTTTCATATATTATAATCCAAATATGAAAGCATATTGTAGAAAAAAAAAGACATTAATTTGTTTTTCTTGATATAGCTTTACAGGTTATTTGTTGTTCAAGGCAAGTATATCATAAGGTATGATGCATTTCGTTCTTTTTTTTACACTATGTAGTATGATGAAAAATAAATAAAGTATGTTAACGAAAATAGAAAAAGAAAAACAAAAACGAGGCGGGAACTAGTTAACCCCCCCTCTCCTCCGTTGTAGAATGATGGAAAATTGAGCTTGATTAACGTGAATCTTTTGTTTTTTTTTGAATAGTTTTCATAAATAATTTTCTTAAAAATAGAATATATAAAATGTAATAATTTTATTCATATTTTTATTATTTCAAGTGCTTCTTTTCTAAATATATTAAAATATGAACAAAAAAAAAAAAAAGAATTGCGTGAATAATTATTTTTTATATTGAATCATGTAAAATTGTCTTTTTTTGTTAATGTTGTTCTATAATAAAAGAATTCTGAAAAAGAAAATCGATATTTGATTTTTCGTATTTTTCAATAAATTTACAATTATAATTAGTTTTTTTTGGAAGGTTGATTTGCTTTTGATGATTGTCTTGGTAGATTTTGATTTGATTGTTCAGAATTCATAGCAGCCATAAATTTCATATATTCTTCATATGATACTGTACCATCTTGATTACTATCCATATTTGATATAACTGCATTAACTTCAGCATCTTTATATGCAACATTTGATCGATGAAGACATTCTTTCATTTCTTCAGCTGTAATAGAACCATTATCATTGGTATCGAATTCCATAAATGATTTTGTCATTTCGACAACTTGACTAGGTTTTAATTTACGAAGAATAGAACCACTAGCCATTTTTAGTTCGATTAGGTTGTCTTTTGCTTATAATAAACGTAATAATAAATATTTTACTTCTGAATAACATTAATATGATAGTTTTTTATTTTTTTTTTTGCTTGGTAAATCAAGCATAACAATACACGTGGTTGACTCTCTGTAAATAGAACACCATAAGGGTATACATATAAGATCACTTAATTAACGATTTATAATACCTGTATACATAAGAATGTAGGTGGTAGATTATGCGCATAGTGTTTATCATAAATTAATTAATATTTGAATCAAGGACGATATCCAAAGGTTATAAAAGTTAAAAATAAAAATTATTTGATAGATTAATTATTGCTTCTTTTTTTTTGTTTTTAATTGTATAGCAATTTTGTTTTCATTGAAAATCAATCTTACAAGTAACTAGATTTTTTTGTATATTCTCATTTATTTTTTTTGATATTATTTGTTCATAGAATATAGCATTAATAGTGATTAGATATGTGCTAGATCGAGACCACAAGAAACAAAAAAAAAGGCATCCCAATGGAAACTCAAGATTGTAATTAAATATTCTATTGTTTTAAACGAATTATCATATTAATCAGAACATACGTAATTCAAAAGAAATGACCCAAAAAATACAAGTCGTCAACTAATCAAATCAAAACAACGAGTACTAAAAAGTTATTTAGATGGAATACAAATCTATTCTAGAACAGGTTTTTTTTTCTAGACAAAAACTGAAACTTGAAAAAATAAAATTATTGGAACTGACACCAGGTTAGATCTGTCGGGATTGGAACACGAAAAAAAAAACTTGATCTCACACATATTGTGTGGCGAAAGATTCATTTCAAATGAAAACATTTTTCTTATTCGATATGTTTTGGATCGTTGTATAATATTCAATGAATGATATATTTTTTTTGTATTAAAGGTTGTTATTTAAATACACTTTGGAAATTTTTACTATTCTATATATTTCTTTATTTATATTTAGTTTTCGTATTGCATGTATTTGATGAGTTGTTAAAAATAGTATCAAATAATTTTTTTTTATTTTAATATATGAAACAAAAATATAATTTAATATTATATTTCAAAAGCGGTGTTATATTTAAATGATTTAGTTATTTGTATTTATTGACTGTTCGACTAGTAAAATCGTGAATTGAACAATTTAAAATAACAATAAAAAATACTCAAGTCATATATATGTAAGGATTCAATGAAACTTGAATTCAGCAAAGATAAAGGTACTATATGGGGTTTTTGTCCATAAATAAAAGATAAATCATTGAATTCAGATGATTAAACGATATGATTTCCCTTGAGAACAATGATGTGCTCGTTTGAGAAATATGCTGAATAGTTGAATTTTATTTCCTAGATGCATCCGTCTTATCTATGCTTCATAACAGAATCGACAGATAAAAATTTACAATAAACAAATAACTCATTCTTGGATCTTAATCGTCATTGTTTTTTTTATCTACAAAATGCAAAAAACTAATCTTATGTAAAATATGATTAGAAATAAGTACTAAACTATGTAGCGAGAAAGTTCGAGCCCCAATAGACTATGAAAGATACATTCTCATCTGTCACTGTCTACGATGATTTTGAGGTCTTTTATGAAATATAATTGAACAAGAACATTTAATTATATTGCAAATAAAACAACAAAAAAAAAACACGCAGACCCATTTTGTCCTTTACTACACAGGTCATAACAGACCTACAATTTATGTTTACAAAACGTGAAAAACTAAAAGAATATATGAGTCGCTTTGACCCAAAAGAATTGTATGATTGACATCAATTTACGGAGACAATGAATCTGTCGTTTTTCACATATTTAATTCTGTTGGGAGTATGGTAAAAGCTTTTTCAACATAGTATTCTTTATAAATCTCAAGATATCTATTATTGAATAGAACTGACATATTTGTCTTTTTCTTTTTCTTTTATTTTCTTCCATTATCATTTTATTTATATTTAAAACATAAATTTAAAAATATTTAATTTATTTTTTATTTTTTTTATTCGATGTATTCAATGATGTAAATGATATAATCATAGTAATCAATTCAATTAATAACCAAATTATACACCATAATCTCACTTTTTTTACTTTCTAGGAAATTCGAATAGGTTCGTATTCATAAGTGAGAAGAAAAAAAAAGAAAGACCACAACGACAAGAAAAATGTTAGTTTATTTATTAGAACGTTTCTTTGAACCAAAATCATAGAAACGTTTTCGTGTACCAAAATCATAGAATCGTTGCATACGACCATATTCAGCATTTGAATCTTGTAAATTATCATCATTAGTATGTATTGATCGTGAACCAAAATCATAGAAACGTTTGTTTGCTAATGCTCGTTTCATACGCATATTGACACTTTGATATTGTTGTTCCTAATTAAACAATAAGAAATTCTTGAAAAAGAAAAAAAAAAGAATTTTCTTTTTTGATCATACCGAAAGAGCACAAGTCATGGCTAATAATGTTATATAACCAAAGATAAATATTAGAAGTATATTGCTTGGTTGCATAGTATTCAATGATTTACAAATGAATAGGAATAAATATATATGTTATCTATAAAATACAAAAGAAAAGATGTTCTGTTTTTTTTTTTTTTGTTATAACTTTTACTTAAAAACCTATTTCTATGAAATACAATGTAGCTGATCGAATAAGGAAAGATTTACTATCTGAATACAATCTAATATTCTTTTTTTTTTCTTTTCTCTATTCTATTGTGAAAAAGAAAATAAGAAAAGAAAAGAAAACGGAAAAGATCTTATTCTACATGAGTCGAAAAATATTCTTTGATGACAACAACAAAAAAGCAAAAACATGTTCAAACTCTAAAAAGCAATATTAGTCTAATAGAACTATCGATAGTTATTAATATATCGATCGTAGGAGAAAAACTTCTTTTTTTTTGGTAGGCGGAGAATATGCAACTCTTGATTTTTTTAGATCGCTCTTTACTGGAAAAAAAATCGTTCAAGAAGAGAAAAATAACATGACGATACTTGAATACATTTACTTTAGCCATCGGTCTAATTGACTTAGCTAGTGTATTGAGAATATGTCATCGTTCTACTTAGATTATTCAATTCATTATCATTCTATTAATCATTCAAAGACATAAATGCTAAAGCATGTATATCGAGATTGTTTTTATTCCGTTTGTCAATGATGTTGAATTCTATTTAAGCACCAACTAAATGCTAATTGTAATAAATAATGTCGTCTTTCTTTTTTTTTTTTTTTTTGTTTTTCTAAAGTATGTTTTAGACATTGATAAATTGACTAGTCTATAGACTTTGTTGTTTTTGGTATTAATAAATTTTAATTTCTAGTGAGAAAATAGACGGGTCAAATGTTATTGAGCTAAAGGTTATTTGTTTCATAATGATATTTAATTTAAGAAAACAAAAATAACCAGATGTAGAACGAGACGTTCTAATTATATTTAAAAAAAAAGTAGTTTTAGTATTTCGCTGTTGTTTCGAGTTATATACATTTCAGAGAAGTAGTTTTTTTCCTCTCAACTGTTATAAAATTAGTCAAAATATAATTAAATAATCACTTTAGAAAAGTATGACAATAGCGAGAGAGTCAAATCAAATTGAAATTTGTACATAGTGTTAACTTATAGATTCTATCTCGCTTAAAATAGATCATCATTATTTTTATATCATCTGAAAGTTCTACTCACAAATTACATACTTGTATGAAGTGAACATACAATTGACCTTGTTTGACTCTTAATTCGATTATATCTATTATTGTATTACCTAGAAAATAACATATATAGAGTGTTCTAATAATTCATTGTGAAAAAAACAATATGAATACTTGTTAAATAGTTCAAGTTTTTATATTATAGTATGTTTAAGAATTTATTAGATATACATCAATTAGTTTATAAGAAATATTTAAAATCATCAATCTTGATTTAAACGAAAATCAGATTTATTCATTAGAAAAAAAAAAAGAATTCTCTTCTTAGTTAATATTGTCAAAATTCAACAATTTCAATTCTACCTTATCAATCTTATTTGTGGAACTATTAAACTTATTATAACAGACATGATTTTGTCAAAAGATATTCAATCATCATTGAATATATTATTGTTCATAAATTCAATAATTGCTCATTTTATTACTATGATCATTTCATAAAAGAATTAAAAAATATATCTATAAAATACATTATGTCTAGTATCTGAAAGCTGATTTCGACCAACATATTTTATTTCACAAAGTACCTGTTGAATAATATAGCTCGGAGTGCAGTTCGTAAATACAAAAACTTCAAGGAATATATCAATCTAGCGCAAAAATTTTGATCATATTATTTTTATTCCGTATTCATACTTTTCTACAAAAAAAAAATAAATCATTTCAAAAGATTATTATTCATGTATAAAATCAGATTATAATCGAGTAAAAGATAATATTATTTGGATTGATTCTTGACGAGATAATGTTTTTCTAAGAAATGGGCATATAACACTAGTAATAGCATATGAATACAAAAATTTGAATTAGAGATGATATACAATAAAATGTAGAAATTTCCGATAATCTTTTTTTTGCATGCAAATTAGTATGGTAGTACGTGTTAATAAAGTCATTTGTTTATTTATTATTTTCCAGAAATTTTTCTATTGTTTAGACAATAAAGATTTAGTTCCTATTCATATAACTATAATAGATATGGTAGAAATCACAAGACAATAGAGAAGCAAATACTTGTTGAAAGTGATTCTTTTTCTGAAACTAAAAGTATTCAAGTTCTAGTATAATGATCTCATATCCTCAGGGCATTCACAACAACAAAACAGCTAGCTAAAAGAAAAAAAAACATAGTTTCTTTTTCGAGAAACAGTTTTATTTACTCTTTACACTTCAAATATTGATTAGCAAAATAAAAAAAAAAAAAAAATTATTCATCGGAAAACTTCTCGAAAGTGATTTTAGTAATATTTATTCAATATTTCAACGTAATTGTATTTATACGCATTCTTTCCTTAGGTAAACTATAAGTGCATTAATAGTCAGACAAGATTCATTTTATGTTCAGTTCAAACGACTATATAGTTTTTGAGTCAAGTTTTTAGATGATATAAGAATAATAATGATCTATTTTATTCGACATAGCTTTATACATCTTTTATATATCCGACAAAATTAGGAATATGAAAACAAAAAATTCTGTCGACAACTTTTTTTGTCTTTTAAACAGCAAAAAAAAATAATTAGATAAACTTGGATACTATTTTTAAAAATATGTATATATATATATATTAGTATATACTTCATGTCGGAATAAATCGAATAATCTTTCTTTGATCTTCAGATTCGATCAGCTTTATTACAAGAAATTTAATTTTCCTCTATCTAAACGGCAAAAAACGGAAGTATTTACTGTATGAACCGACACAATGAAAAACAAACTAAAATTCGGACTATTTTAACACGATCTTTATTCTTATGTTTCTCCAAAGTGATTAATGATTTATATTTTAATTAATTTTATATTAATCAATAGATAAATGTTCAATTTGTCTTGCAAAGAAAAAATATTACTTGTCTACGAATTATAAAACAAATTTACATTAGAGTTTTTATAATTGTAAAAAAAAAAAAGAATATTTTTCTGTCATTGAAGTGATTGATAACAAAAAAAATAATTTTTGATGATTTTGATTTTAGCTAAATAAATTTAAAGTAAAATTTAAGAATAATTATGTTTGAATTGTCTTTAAATATATGAAATGAATTGAATAACATGAAAATAATATTCATAATATAGTTTAAGAAATTTACATCTATTGATGTTATGTTAACCGAAGGCAATTGTCAGGAAGTTAATCAATAATATATAATGATTATTTAGTATGTGATAGAAAAATCAATAAATAATCAATAATGTTTTTCATTTTTATGATATATATTTTACATAATATTCAACATTGCATAAATAATTTTTTCTTTCTTTTTTGAATAACTATGCCTTGTTTCCCATATGTCTTAAATTTTCCATCTGTAATTGTTTACATATACAAAGAACTGTAAAAATAATCTCATGGAAATCTAAATAACATGATTTTTTTTTCTTGGCATTTAAGGATAAACACTCATATATATATAATCATTTTTTTTATCCATGTATATTTTTTATAAGACGATAAAATTTGATTAACTGTATCGTATTAATTCAGAATTCGCAAAAAAACGAAAAATTTTTTTTTGTTTTTTTGTAAAATTTTTAATCTCATAGTTTTACAAACTTAAATCAATGGTATTAATTTATAATTCTTTGATTTGTTCCTCTTATCTTTCAATAGATGCCACAAGTAGAAGTAAAGAAAATACTTTGCTTCTTACTTGTACTTAACAACATAATGGATACATAGCAACATTTATACGAAAAAAAAGAAGAAGAAAAAGAAAAAAAAATATTGTGTTGTGGTTACAAATTATTTTTTATTATTGAAACTTCTAAAAATGATGAATAGTCGTGCTAATGTTCGACCTTATAATGCTCATGTACTTGTTGGAAATTGGTATGAAGATCGAGTTATGGAAGAAGTATGAAAAAAAAAAAACTTTTCTTGTTTTTTATTTTAACTAATCGATTATTTATTTTCATATTACTTTAAATAATTAGGAAGTATTAAAAGATTTTCTTGATAAACGTTATACTGGTCAATTAGCATCACAAAAAATAAGTGAAGTTGAACGTATGTCTCAAACAGTTCCATTAAGTATATCGGCAAGTGATGGTTTACTTCGTTTTGGTCATCAAATTATTCTTGTTAATACATTTACTTATGCAGCTCATCATACAGGAGAAAAATCACAATTAAGTTGTTGTTTAGCAACTGGTATTCCATATTTATCAGGTTCTCATGATAGTGCACCTGAAGTAACAGCTACAGGAACAACATTAATACGTCCAACACTTCGTTCAACTTTTATTATTCAAAAGTAAAAAAAAACCAAAAATTTTTTTTTTTTTGAAAATACGAAGAAAAAAAGAATTCAATGAAAATTATTATTCTTCTATTTAATAGACCAAATCTTTCGGTGAATTCTGAACCAATTAAATATGGTGATGAAATTCTTATAACAGATTCAAATGGACAAGTATTTTATTTTTGATATTATAATTATCTATTTATTAATAAAATATTTAGTTATTTTTATCATGTGTAAAAAGTTCAACACGTGCAGCACGAACATGTGATGTTATTTTTACAAATAATAAAAATCGAAATAGTATATGGATTGTTATGCATCCAAATATTAATTTAAGATTAGAATTTGATGGATCAGAAGTGAAAGTATTTTTATTAATTTGTAATTATATATATGAAAATGCATATTTTTATATCTATAGATTGATGATAAAATTGTTCTTGCTCATGCATCAACAAATAAATGTTTATCGGTTAATTCAGAACATTCCAATAAGTATATATATATATATTTAAACAAAAGATTATATTTAATTTTTTATTTATTTTCTTATTAAATTCTAGATCACCATATGGACGTGAATATGAACTTTTATGCGAATTATCTACGGGTAGTTTTGCTGCATACAAAGCTCCTATTCTTTGGAAATTTCAAACTCAATCAGCATATTAACATGATTCTATTTTTCCTTTTGAATAGAGATCTTGTATGCGCGCGCGTGTGTGTGTGTGTTATCTTATTCATCAAAAACAAAAATAAACGCATTCTTTCTTATTTTAACAATACAAAACAAATAAGAAATAAGTCATAAAAGGATAATTATCTAAGGATAAAAGTCATATTGACTAACATAAATTAATATTTTCATAATTGATATTGAACTTAAAATATTATTTGTATAAATTTTCATTTCAATATTTAATTCAATTTCTTGAAATGCACTTAATTCTCTAACAACAATTAAATTAGCATTATGTGGTGGATAATTTTTTAATTGAAAATGATCAAGTGTTGTTGTAGCTAATTTTGTATATGGATCAAATGCATCCATTAAACGTAAATCAAATTCAGCATATTGATTTGTTTGTAATTGACTATTACGTATACGAAAAATTTCCATTGGTGTACGCATTTTTGCTTGAAGAAAAACAAAGATAAATATCAAAAAATTTCATTTTGTTTTTTTCTTTTTACATACCAGGAAGTGAAATGAATGAATAAACATATTTAACTGGTTTTCGAATTGTACAACGTAAATCTTTATCAGATTGATGTTGTTGACACCAACGTGCAGATAATTGACATCGACTAAAATAAAAGAGAATGAATTTGATCGATATATTAAAAAAAAATATTTGTAAATCAATATACTTAGTTCCCATTTTATCATAACCTTCAGGACATTTAACAGAATAACAACGAACTCCACCAAGAAGATTAACACAATATTCATCAGAACGACAATTATGAGTACCAATAGTACATTCATCAATATCTTGACATTGACGACTTCGTTCAAGTGTAAAACCTGATGGACATATACATTTATATGAACCTGGTGTATTAACACAATGATATTGACATAAATTTGGAATCATTGAACATTCATCAAGATCTAAATAATCGAATAGAATTTCAAAAAAAAAACAATAACAAAGGAATTCTCTAACCTCGACATGTTCGTCTATCACCATTTAATCGATAACCTTCTTTACATAAACACTAAATAATAAAATAATTTTAATTAGTTTCTTTTATTTTCACAAAAAATAAAAATTTATTTACATAATATGATCCTTGAACATTAACACATTTATGTTCACATGTATCCGATGATGTTTCACATTCATCAACATCTTAAAGATGAGATTATTATTATGAATAATCTTTTTTTTTATGATATTTAATTACCTTCACAAAATGCACGTTCAGCTATCATTTTATATCCAGCAATACATTCACACTAAAAATATTTATTGATTTTTTTTTTTTATTAAAATAATTTCAATAAACTTACAGCATATGATCCAGGTGTATTACGACAATATGCATTCGATGGACAAACTACATTACCTCGTGCACATTCATCATCATCTAATATAAAATATATTAATATTGATTAATAATTTCAAAATGATATACATACCAACACAAACACCATATTTAAATACAAATCCAAGTGGACATTCACACTAGAAAGATATTAATATGAAAAGTAATACAAGTTAAGATAGAGAGTCGATCGTAGGAGAAAAAGAAACATTTCTGAAGGACAGAACAATTGTTTCTCATATATTCAAATACATCGATATCTGTTAAATTTGAGGAAATAAACAATTTACAAAATAGAATTCATTTCGATCAAATTTTTCTCTTTTTAAGGAGTGATAAATATCACTTTTTTTCGATTGTTATACATCTTTATTATTAGTATAAATATTTAGATTTCTTATAGAAGAACTTACATAAAATGATCCATATGTATTCTTACAAGTTGCCGGTGCAGGACAAGTATGATTGCCAATAACACATTCATCAATATCTAGAAAATTAAAAGTCTATATAATAAAAAGAAAACTATTTTTCTAATTACCTAAACATTTAAGATCTTTCATTTCAAGTCCACTTGCACAACGAAATGTTTGAACACATCTATATGAACCCGGTGTATTATCACATCTTTCAGTTGGTTGACATGGACTTGGTATTTGTGCACATTCATTAATATCTAATAGATAAGAAAACAATATTATCAAATAGACAGATATACAAGAGAGCACGATAAAAGTTTGTTTTTTTTTGCCAACCTTTTAAAGAAATATTTGAAAGATAGTTTTAGTGCTATTTTTCAAAATGCTATCCTCTCATCAATAGTGTATGATGCATTCGATTAAAATAAATCATGTATATAGAATTTGAGATCTTTTTGTTTTTTCAGCATAGCTACTTAAAGCATGTGTAACATAGGATCGCTGTTATTGAGTCTTAGTTTTCTTTTTTTTTTTGCACTTGATATTTCAGTAACAGTCACATAGCTTTAGATTTGTGGAATATACTTGATCAGTATAAAATTTTATATGATTATGTATTGTTCAATATCTCGAGTGTTCATTATGCTCATGATCTTGTGTTTTCAATAGTAAAAACTAACCTTGTATTTCTGTTCTAGGGCATTTTGAAATCTTGCATTAGGCAACAATTAATAGATAATTTCTGGCTACTAGGTTCTAATAATTAATTCTGCCATCCAGTGAGAACTATCTTCAATTATCACTCAAACAATATTAATTGCTTCAGCGTAAACAACAGCTGAAAGACCATCTGCATAGGCAATATTAATTCCCTTGATTTAAATTCATGAAGTCTACTGCGAACTATCACTTCTATATGTCACTATGTATATGCTACAAAGGCACGGTTTTCCATGTATATTGAACAAAAATTCTATTCATATAAAATCATATGTCAAAATCACTCATGTAACCATTTAAACAGTAATGGATGCCTGATCAAAAAGAAATGTAAAAATCAGATATTGAACAGAGTCTGAAAGTTTAAAATTTTGCACATAATTCTAAATATATCTATGAATTATAGTGGAATACTTAACCATTTTGTCTAAACGGAACGAAAGACCAGCTGATTCTCTACATAATAACACATCTCCAAGCTCTCCGTAACATTGTCTGACTGACCTATACCAGTTTCAACACAAGCACACTCAACTCCTTTTTTCCATAAGAAATGGTGAAAAAAAAAACTCATTTTTGAACTTTTCTAGATTATTTTTTGAAATCAAATCGAAGTGAATTCATTTCAAATATGAATTAATCTTACCAGCACATTTTCCAAAAGAAGTTGCATTATAACCTGGTTGACATTGAACTTTTTCACAGCGACCAAAAAAAGCATTGAATTTTTCACCTTTTGTACAATTTTGTGGTTGACATCTAAGAGAAATTTAAAAAAAAAAAAAATTAAAGCCTCGAAAAAATAAAAAAAACTTAAACATTATAATTACTTGTACGTTCCAGGTATATTTTTACAAACATAACCAGGTCTATAAAATAAAATTTTTGAAGTCAAACATTTAATTTCTAGAAATAAAACATTTTTAATAACTTGCCTACACTCATCAATGCCTTGTTCACATTCATCAATATCTAAAAAAAAAAAAACAAAACAGATATTGTACAAAAAAAAACAACAACAACAATATCTTTTTGTTTTTTTTACCCGTGCAAGTTTGTGTTTGAGGATCAACTTGATAACCTGTTCCACAATTTCTTTCACGTATACATCTATTAATAAATAAGTAAATAGATTCATTCATTCATTCATAAAATTTTTATTACCGAAATGATCCAGGCATATTTTCACATCGCTGTCCATGAGTACAATTATGAGTATGAAGTGCACATTCATCAGTATCTACATAAGTAATATGAAAAAGAATAAATAATATAATTCAAAATAAATAGAAAGAAAATTAATCATACCTCGACATTCTCCATATTTAAGTGACCATGTATAACCAGATTCACATCCTTCAATACATTGATAAGAACCTGGTGTATTTTCACATGTCATCGTTTTTGGACAAGGACTTGATAGGCATTCATTGATGTCTAAATGTAAGATAATTATTATTAATGTTTGAATCTCTATTGAAAATTATGAGTGTGACAGAATAATTTTAACTGATCGTTCTCGATTCGATTGAGACATCTATTTGTTTTATCAAAAGATGATGCTTAAAATTTTTTGCAAAGTCATATTAAGATTCAAACCAAAATTTGTCTCGAGATTTATTTGAAAAATAAATATGAATATGACGATGAACAGACGAAAGCTCAATCGCAATTTGATTGAAATAGTTTCATTACGTACAAACTATTAAATTATCGATAAAAATGAGCAATAACACTAACTCTTTCAAATTGTTATACCCTCTTGGTCGTCTCTGCAGAGTGCGAACAGAAGTGAATAAAATAAAGACCTTGACTGTTTTCTATAAAAGAAGCTTAAAGAGTCAATCATGACTAATAAGATTGAGTTAATTTTGTAAAGCGAATGTTTGCAAAATGTTCTTAAGGTTCTCATGTATAACTTCAGGAAATGATGGTATACACACGTTTGTCTGCATTTATACTAATTGAAACAACATAACAATAAAAGTAATATTGATAGACCAAATTTAACATGCAGTCAAAATGAACATGGTGGGAACTATATACATTAACTAAAGTATACTACTTAGTACAGACTTTTAAGCGTTATCTCTTGATAAAAAAAAAAGTATTTCAAGAAAATGAAGAAAAGAGGAGAAATGTTAAAGATACAAATAATCTAATTTATTCGATATTATCTATTACATACCACGACAACGAGCATTATCGCCCATTTCAAAACCAGGATCACAATTCACTAGAAGAAAAAATCAAACTACATATTTCATTGAATTTATTTCATAGATTACATGATTTAGCTTTTTTGCAACAATTTGTAAATTGTTCACCACATCTTTCATCAAGTATAGGCACCGGATCACAATCTTCAAGATGTCGACCTGCCTGAACACCTAATTCGCAACATCGACAACATATCTATCAACAAATATTTAATAAAAAAAGGATCTTTATAAAAAAAACCAAATAGAAAACCTTATAAGTATCTTTTAAATGTAATTTTGTTTCATTACATGGTAATAAACGTAGAGCTGTATTTACACCTTCTTCACAATAATAATTACGTAAATTTGATAAACAACATATATGTGTTAAATAAGGACAATAATTTGTTATATTTGTATCATTGTTTGATGTTAATAAGTGTGTTTTTAACGTACATGTTTTATCAGTTTCAGCTTGAATTCGACCTGTTTCACAACATTCTTCAGCATTATCACGAAATGCATCTAATAGAAAATTCAATTATTAAAATATATAGAAAATTAGAGTTTTCTTTTTTTAAATTTTGCTTTACCCGTAAGTAATGAAGAAATTGTTAAATGCACTAAAATAACTATAACAATATTTGAAAATAAATACATTATTTTTTGTACGAGTGCCAGATGCATGTTAATGCTAACACAAATCAACCGGTAATGTATTATGGAATAACTCGTTTTTCCTTTCTATCTTTGTTGTTGATACGATATTACAACAGCATCAACTCTATTCGACCTTCGTTCTCGTCCTCATTTTTCCTTCTATTGCTGCTTATGTATCCACCTAATCGATTGTCAACGACACATTTTAGCTATTCTGTACAGAACGGCAAATATCTAGATTATTTCATACATTCTAATGTTTGCTTTTTGGTGTTTCCAAGAGAGCCCAATTGAATGATCATTTGTATATTATAAAGAAAGCGTTAATACATATATATATGTATTATGTAAGCAACAATCGATCTAATTGAGCTATTTAACAAAATTTTGTATACCAAAAAAAAAATATTTTTTTGTACTCCTAAGATATTATTGTCATTCGAGTGGTTTAATCAAACTATATTTATAATAGAATAAACCAGAAAAACCTTATAGATATATGTGTATATTATTCTTGGAAAAAGAATAATTTGACCATGTACGGTCTATCTTGCTTGTATATATTATCCTTTTGTCTTAGGAAATGTCAATTTAGACGCCAACAATACTCTTTAACTTCTCTTTTTTTTCTATAGCTATTATTTGTCGACTATTAATAATACTACAATAATTTCTTTTTTTTCCTGTTTTATTGAAGAATGCATTAATGAACTTGTTCGTGTCTTTTAATATATTGAGTTGACAAACAGCAACATAAAAGTGTACCTCTCGCAGTCATAAAAAGAAAACGTGTAACAGAAACAATAACTATAAAAGCATATTGCTATACCAATGTGAGCCAGCGGAATGAGACAGTCGTCTGTTCTCTCGTTTCTTTTTTTTTTCTTCTTCTTTAATTTTACTATAAGAAGTAAAATACAACAAGCATTGACTAAAATGAAAGAAAAAAAGTACACACACACACACGCATCCAACACGGGTATGTTTGTGTGCATATAAGAAAGCAAGGAACGAAAGGTAAACCTTGTCTGTACATACGCAAGCACCTCCATCATACTTTTTCTCTTATATTCTGTTTTTTTTTTCGCTTATATTCTGCTAAAATGAATAATAATGCAAAATAAATGTCTTTAGTTTATTCTCATACATTTCAGTCGTGAATAAAGTTGATCAGATTGAATATCTAACGACCATTGACAAATATAATATTTCATGTATATATCAAATTTCAATCTATTAATATGCTGAAATATAAGTAAAATAAAAAAAATCTAAACGAATCCTCTAAATCATTCTATTATATTCTAGATAGAAACTTTCATGAAATTAAAAATTATTCTATTATTTATTTATATTGATATATCTATAAGTCAAAATAATAATACATTAACAACAACAACAACAATTCCTATTAAAAATCCATATGAACCAAAAGATCATATTGTTAATCCACATGATTTTTCTTATATATTAAATCCTGGTTATTCTGTATGTAATACAAATAATTCATCATCTATTTATATTCTTGTTTATGTTCATTCTGGTCCAACAAATTATCGACGTCGTATTGTTATACGTGAAACATGGTCAACACGAACATTATTTTCTGATTTACGTCTTATATTTATGATTGGTAAAACATCAGATGAAAATATAATGAAATCAATACAATATGAAAATGAAATATATCAAGATATTGTTCAAGAAGATTTTATTGATGCATATAAAAATTTAACATATAAAGGTATAATGGCATTAAAATGGATATCAATTTATTGTTCGAAAGTAAAATATATATTAAAAGTTGATGATGATATTGTTGTTAATACATTTACATTAATTAATCATTTAAAATTTCTTGATAAACTTAATCCTGTTAGAGAACAAACAATACTTTGTTTATTATGGCAAGCTATGACTGTTATGAGAGATAGGTTAGAAATATATAGGAAAAATTTGGTTTTATTTTTGCTATATTTTTTTTTTGTAGTAAATCGAAATGGTATTTAAGTAAAGAAGATTTTCCATTGGATTTATTTCCACCATATTGTAGTGGTTCAGGTAAAAAATTGATAATTCAATCAAAAATTCAATTGTTTTTTGTTTTTTTAAAGCTTATATTCTTACTGGAGATATGGCTGCAAAAATGTAAGTATATTATATACAATAGCTTGAAAAAATTAATCATAAAAGCTTAATTTTAATCTTTTTTCTCAAGGGTAATTCGCATAAAGAATCTAAACAATGATTTGAATAGAGAAAATTATTTTCAACAAGAATTTGAGAAAATATTAAAATATTTATGATAATCTAGAATTTCGACTTTAATTAATCTACAAAATGAAATGATTTCAAGGAGTGGATTCTGTGATATTAGAATCAAGAAAGTCGATAAAATCAGCTATTTTTCTTTCGAATATTTTAAATTATTCGTTATGTTTTTTTTGTCTATAATTGTTAGGTATAATGCAAGTTTATATGTACCATTTTTTTGGGTTGATGATTATTATATAACTGGAGCAGTAGCAAGTGCTGCAAATGTAACTTATACACAACTTGGTTCACTTTATACAATTCCAGAACAAATAGCACATTCACGTTTTATGTCTTCAAAAGCTTTTTATACAATTATGTTTGGACATTTTGTAAATATCAAAAAAAGAAATTCTTTTGAAATACGTTTTTTTTTTGTTTTAGCCTGGTTCGATGAATAATATGCGTGAAGTATGGCGTCGAATATTAATAAGTCAAAAATATAAATATCCAAAATATGTTCAATATCATTCGTTTAGTTGGGATGAAACAATTCTTACAAATGAAAAACTTATCGCATAAATAGCAATGTCTTTCGATATATATTTGTCTGATAGATATGATTAAATTTTGATTATATAATAAAAAATATTAGTGATTTTTTAAATTTTTGCTGAAAAAAAATTAAATGTATTGGAAGTCAATCTTCGACAAATATTATTTAGAAAATGAAGTATTATTGTTTAAATATTAATAATGAAGAAAGAAAATATTAATATGAAATAACTATTAATCAAAAATCAATGTTAATTTTTCTAATGAAATATTATTAAAACTAATATTTTATTTTTTTGTTTTTAAATGTTAATTTAATATAAAATTTGGTGAAATATTACTATTAGAATTTTGATTTATAATTTTAGATATGTCAATATTTTTCTTATACTTTCAGTTTTTATAAAAGTTATGTTATTTTATACTCCTAATAATTACGCAAGCTCAAATCATTTGTAAGAATTCTATGAAATCGATATTTATTAATAAAACAGAAGTATATAAATGTAAATTTTTAAGAATGAACAGAATGTCGTCAATAGGACATTCATCAATAGTGAAATTCCGAACATCCGTTGCTAATTTATTAAATTTAATAAATCCAAGGTCATATAATTTTGATTACACTTCAAATTTGAACAACATTAACAGTTCTTCATTGAAATATATTGGTCGTATAGAAATTACTTTAATTCAAATAAATATCAACTAATTGATAAGATTAAAAACAAAATATATGCTTCAAGTTGATTTTTCATGGAAAAAAAAATTATATAATTATAGATTTATTCTAACAGCACTACGGTCTTTAACTAATGATAAGAGACTTCTAGAATACTATACTCTGATTGAAACAACACATAGGTATCAGAGGTCCAAACAGGCCTCGTTTTTTAGGCCTGTACGGCCTGTCAAGTTTTTCGAGCGAATACAATAATGGTGATAGACTAGAAACCATAGATCCAAAGAGGACACTAGGTCTATTGCTCAACCCGGTCTTGACCCGACTGTCATAGGCATCACCCATGGTTTTCTAACTAATGAAAGTGACAGGCCCAGACAGGCCGACAGACCAAAAATTGCTTAAACCTCTGACTTTCACTAGACGGAAAACCATGGGTGATGCCTATGGCAGTCAGGTCATGACCGGGTTGAGCAATAGACCTAGTGCCCTCTTTGGATCTATGGTTTCTAGTCTGCCATCATTATTGTACTCGCTCGAAAAGCTTGACAGGCCGTACAGGCATGTTTGGACCTCTGATAGGTATATAATTACAACAACTCTCATAACATATTTTATCCTGTGCTTTTTTGCTGTAAATCGCGGTATTCATTATAAAAAAAACACTAGCTCAGGATATAGAATGCTTCTTTCAGCGCAGTCAAAATTATGTCTTGTAGAAAATGCTGACAATGAGTCTACTGACTACACTAGGTCCGTATCCACTAAAGCATTGACAAACACATACAGTATGAATATATCAAGTAAATAAGTAAACATTAGTATGAATTTTCGGTAAATAGTTCACTGAACTTATGTTGTATTTGTTTATATGATTAGTTTTCATGTTCATTTTATCTATGTTGAAATGTAGCTGATGAAACATTGAAAATAACGACTTTTGCCTCTTGTTCTATGCTAATTGACTAGAAATCAACAACATTTATACTACATTATGTAGATCTATTCAATAAAAACAAAAACAAAAACACAAGAAAAAGAAAATTTCTATAATCAAAAATTCGTTATCAATATATAAAAAAAACAAAATTACAATTTAAATTACTGAAAACATTGCATAACATTAAATTTATTATTACTACATACATGTAAATATTGAATAAAAAATCAAATTATCTGACATTGATTAAAATTCAGTTGTATCCGTTCTTAAATTTTGTAATGCTTTCTCTCGAACTTCCAATGCACGATTTCTTGCTTGTTCTAATTCATCTATAAAGAAATGTACAGAATAAATACTAAAATTTATAGCAATATCATATTATTGAAATGAATTATTAACAACTATTATAAAAAGTCAATGTGATTTATATAAGACAATCAATAGAAGATACAAATTTTTACAGCAGAATTTTTTTGAGGTTTATCAGTTAGGAATTATGAGTGAATCTAAAATAAGATTTGAACAAAAGTAGTTCAATTAACAGATCTAGAAATAGCTAAATTTGATAGTATCCTATTTGAAATTGATTATGTGATACTTTGTTATTTTCGGTTTTTAAGAAGTTCAGTTTAGTTTAGTCCTTGCAAAGTGTAAAGAATGAGTTAAGGATTGAAAAGTCTCGAAGCAATCCTTGAGAAATAATCAAGTTGATTTTGTAAGTCCAGAAAATACAGAATTTTGAAGATGTCAAGGTGTTTTTGTGTCATTTATTCAGAATTCCTAATATATGAAACTAACAGAAAATAGCACAGAATTCTAACTCAATACTTTTAATTTTTTGCTGACTTTTGTAATTCGTCAACAAATGAAAGAATATTATGTTCAATCTCAAAACAAAACAAAAAACATTTGTACAATTGAAACGATTCTCTATTCATAAAAACAAAATGCTTCTTGAGTCTTTTGTAAATTCGATGAAGAAAGGTTATGAAGACATATCTTTATTTAAGAAGATTTATTTTAACTTTTTTTGAATACGAAAATCCTGATAGAAAATTCTCTTTTATCTACTCAATTGTTTTTCTTTTTATTACAATCAAGAAATAAGCTTAAACAAAACACAACTTTTCTTGGTCACTATTAGAATCTATCGATTTTGCACCGAACAAACTCTAATCACTAAATATCTATATATAATGTTCAGTGTCTGTGTGTCTGTCTACGCCGGGTCAAAGGTTACTGGTCATATAAGACTATAAGGGGAAGGCGCCAAGGGCTATTATATGAAGGTACCCATAGGTCCTCAAGAGCTGTTATATAGAGGTACCCATAGGTTCTCAAGGGCTATGCTATAGAAGTACCCATAGGTCCTCATGGGCTATCCTATGGAGGTAGCCATAGGTCCTCAAGAGCTATTATATGGAGGTACCCATAGATCCTCAAGGGCCGTCCTATATGGTACCCATAGATCCTGAAGGGTGTAAGACAATAAAGGCATAAGGCTACAAGTGGTACAAGGAATATAAGGCTATAAGGACTATAAAAATATGTGTGATAGAAGAGTACGAGGCCGTAAGGCTTCGATCTATATACATAATATCGCGTATCTGTATGTCTGTCATCGTATGAAAAGTTGAACGTCTGAAGTCATACGTTTAAGGAGAAAGCAGCCGTGCAATATGCACGGATTCTCGCTAGTTTCATAATAATTACTAATTGAAGTTGAACAATACAATGTTAAATTTACTTCGTTATTTCAAACGAACGAAAAAAGAAAGAAATTACTCAATATAAAAATGCAATACATCTACTCACAAAGAGTATCATCAATATTTGACATAAATGCATCAAATCTATACAAAAATAAATTAAAAGATTATATTATTTAAATTAATCATAGAAACAAAATATACCCATAACGATTGACACCATGAGTACTACGTTTTCTTGTATATTCTTTTGCTAGATTTCTATTATTCAAAAAAAAAAATATCAATAGAATTTTTCAATCAAAAAAAACTTATATATTTTCTTTATATACTGTGATTGAAAAACAATATTGAATCGAATATTTAATGTACCTGTTGAAACAGTACGAAAACCAAAACGACTTAATAATTTATTATTCTTAAAAAAAAAATAATAATAATTAAAATTTTCTTCAATTGAAATGAAATTGATTACTTTTTCACTTTCAAATAATTTTGGAATAGCAACGTAACTTATATCTTCAAGTTCAGTTGAACCACCAATATAAAATCGACGAAGTTCATCATAAATTGAATTACCACGTGGTCTCCAACATGATAAATCTTCATCATAAAATCCTATTTGAATAAAATAATTTATTCAAAAAAACAAAAAAAAAATTGAATAATTGATTATTAACCTGGACTACTTGGAATATCTATGTATGTATATCCTTCAATTCGATGACGACTCCACGAATCCAATGAAGATATTTGAAAATAAATTTTTGGCATTCGAGGAAATTCTATTTAACAAAAAAAAATAAAATAAAATATTAAGAAAATTATTGATTTTTACCATGATTAGCTAAAGCATATGATGGTTTATACCAAAGTTCAAATTCAAATGGATGCGAATAATAAACAATATCATCCTAAAGAAAATAAATTTACTTTTTTTTATTAAATAAAACTTAAATTATAGCATTTTATCGATATTATTCAGATGAATAATATTTCATTAAATCAAATGTTCTATTCATTTTTAAAGATTGACACAGTTCTGTTTTTAAACAAGATTTTCAAAAAGGGGAAAAGACGTTGAAACCAGAGATGGACAAAATCGCGCCGCGCCTCCCCGCGCCAAGGCGCTACGCATATCTCTCTTTCTCTTTGCTCTACCAATCAGTTTCTCAAACTCCACTGAATACCGGGATGCTCTAAGCATGCGCTCATCAAAGCTCAGATTAGTGTAGCGTAGGCGTGAGCAACGGCGCGGGGAGGCGCGGTGCGACTTTGTCCATCTCTGGTTGAAACAGTATTAATAATAAGATTTAAACTGGTATAGAACACATTTGTAAATGTTCTACATTTTGATTTTTATACAGATAAAAATTTGCTTTTATTTATCAAGTAAATCTCAAAAAAATAAAAAATGCTTAATCATTCGTAAAATTATTTTTTGTCTTACTTACATATTTACTAGAACTTGTTGTACTTGCTGTATGTGTATAACCAGATAAAATCATTGATGGTTCAACATACCAATCTATGAAATATAGAAAAAACAAAATTCTATTTTTTTGTTTTAAATAAATTCTCAATTTACCATTAGTTAAATCTAAACAATAATAAACATAAATATTATCATAATCAAAATTTTTTCCACTAATAATTTCACCAAATACATTTAATTTAAGAATATTTGGTGGTGGCTAAAATTAAACATAAATTATTAGAAATAATTTATTAGATTTTTTTTTCAATTTTACTATATCAAATTTATTTCCAACAATATTTGTTAGATGTATTTGTTGTCTTGTACAAATTTCATTCATTAATCTTTTTTCTTTAATAAGATAATCTTTAGTTATAGGTATTGATGCATGTTCTAAGTAATAATGATAAAATGTTTTATTTTTATTTCCTGTTTCAATCACATAAGCTAATTTATTATTATTAAAATCGGGTTCTAATATAATTGTACCATTTGAATAAATTTGTATTCGACATAAAATATGTTCATTAGTTAATTGTACATTATCAGTTGTTTGAGAAATTCTATTACTTAAATCAGCCATTATATACATTATTTGATATGGTACAGAAGCATAATGATTTTTTCGAATATCATCAAATGTTGGTCTTTTATTAATAATATTTGCTTTTGGAATATATTCTATATTACTAAAAATATATTTTATAAATTAATTTAATATAGAAAATTATTAATAACAAACCTTTGTTTAAAACGTGATTGAATGATATCACGTTTACCTTAAAAACAAAAATTGATTTTTGTATAGAATGAGAACAAAAGAGAATTTCAGCTCTGTTCGAGAAAAATAAAAATTTTTTTCGTAATTAATCAAAGTCTTAAGAATATTTAGAGAACAAAAAGCTGAATAGAAAATGAAATTAATGTTAAAAAGAAAAAGAACAAATATTTAAATCAATCTGATTTATCGATAAATAGTATCGATATTCGATTGTAAATTGTGAACTTTATTTAGCAATGTTGGATCTTTCACATTAGTGATACAGCATGATGAAGAAAAATAATGAGTATAAGATGCGAAAACACATCTTTTTCAGCTTATCTTTCCTAAAAAATTCGTGTCGGAGTGTGACGTTGAAGGTGTAGATCAATGATTTTAAGATCACTGCCAAAGACACTTTCAATAGGTTTTAGCAATTGAAGTTAAATATTAGTCAGTGCTGTTACATAACAACCAAAGATAACAGGTGCATGACTCATTTTCTATAGTTTCTTAGCAACGGAAAAAAAAGGCACTTAATGGTATTAACAATAATGCTGAAATGTTTCGCAAATATTCGATACGTTGTTTATTTGTTAGAAAGTAAATAACGAACGACTAGCAACCAGACAAATGAAAACTGAATAGAAAAAGAAATTCTATTCGAAATGCAGATATAAATAAGACAGATCATCCCTCCAGCGAACGATTGCCTTGGGAAAAAAGCAATAGTCTACTAGACATGTTTCACATTACATATTTTTGTTTTATCAGTATAAGATCTCTGCGGATCATCTGAGAGAACCTAAAAAGGTTTTAAATCTATATATTTTTCATTACCAAACAGAGATGAGCACAGGACAGGACGTCCTGTTGTCCTGTCCTGCGCTGTAGGGCAGGACGAGATTTGTATTGTTGCCCTATCCTGCCGCTCATCAGGACAAAAAAGTTAGCAGGACAAAAAAGTTAGCAGGACAAAACAAGACAGGATAAAATTTTGATTTGTGCCCTGTCCTGCCGCCCGTCAGGACAAAGCAGGATAGGAGGAAAAATCTTGTCCTATGCTCATCTCTGTTACCAAAGCAATGTATGATTCGTTTATTTTTCTCTCGTGATTGTGTTTTAATAGCAAGATTTTCGTTTAAATGTAAGAAAAATCATATCGCCATTTGATGGATTATGAATACTTCTAAAATTTTTCTTATCCTATGAAGATCTACTAGATAATCGAAATATTGAGTAGAATCATTGCTTAAAACAAAAAAAAATCTTTTTAAGTCTATAAATTGATTCAATTATTTTCATCAATTCTAACTTACGAATATTGTTAATTCCTAATGTTAATTGACTTGGTTGTTCATTTGATGAATCAGTCATAAAATAATCAAGCTAAATTTAAATAAATATGAATATTAATTAAATTAATATAAAATCTATTTACATGTCTTTCATGACAATATCGATCACTTTCAATATATGTAAATATTCTGCCAGGTTTTTTTCTAATAGCTCTAGAAAAAAAAACAATAGAAATAGATTCATTTAATAATTTTTTCAATATTTACTTCATTTTTTGTATAGCATCAAAATATTTTTGTTCAACTATTGTACTATGCGGTCCAATATTTCTTCCATATGTTTCAAATTCGGACTAGATAAAACTTACAATTGACAAAAGACAAACAAATGAAACAGTATATAAATACATGACTAAAAAGTTTTTGTTGCCAACCGATCACAACTTCTTCATATTCTGAATCGTTTGTTTCATTTAAAACTGGTCCTATGTTAGTTTTGTTAGCTTTCGGTTCTTTTAAAGGTTGTCCATCATTCGTAAGTAAACGAGATAAATCTTCTCGAATTTTTACTTGTTCTAAACTTGGTAGTATTGAGTTAGATGTTAAACGTTCGAATTTGACACTGAAAAACAATTAAATTTTTCGAATAAAATTTTATATTTAATACTCATCATACCGAATTTTAAAGTTATTTATTGGATCATTTGTTCGATATATACCACAGTTAAGATCATTATCATCAAAGCTCAACATGATTTTTTTTTTCGAACAAAAAAAAAAAGAAATGAAACTTTAGATAAGAAGAAGAAGAAGAAGAAGATGTTTTAGAATAGGTATCTATTGGCCTTAGTGATTATCATACGAATGGTCAAATCAAGTGTAGATGTCGTAGGTCTTAACATACTTCATATATCTCATCAAACGAAGTATTTCTCAATATGATTCAAAAATCAATATCTATACAACTAAAAGATGATGAAGTTCTAATGCATTATATTAGTAAAACAGGAATTATGCAATTAAATAAACGAAAAAAAAGAAATTGACATACTTTAACATGAACAGTTTCAACTGATCAATTTCTTTTCTCATCGAAAACTATATAGTGAACCTCTTACGATTCATTATGTGCTGATTTTCTAGAAAATCAAACTTTACACCAGAAATTTTTTTCGATCTGTACAAATCGTGGAGGATATAAAATTGTCTATAAAACAGTAACTTTTTTTGCTTTAACTCGATTTTGTTATGCAGAAAATACAACCATTTTTATTCCCACAGTACATTCCACTATATAGTGTAGTCATTTTCAAAAAAATCATTCTCAAGAAGACGTTCTTGACATCGAATATTCAAACAAAAAACGGTTTCCTTAACATGAAAGAGTTTGAAACTTGAGGATTAAATTCTGGACAAATAGAATGTCGTGTAGCTTTTACATTGTTAGTTCCTTAGAAAAATTGGTAAAGATTCTACAAGTTTAATCTGACTAGCGAAAATCTACTTCGAGACTCCTTAAACTTTTTGCTAGTGTTTCTAAACAGTATTTTGTTCAAGGAGCTTTTCCTTACAAAATACAACTAAGACAACTTCGAAATCTTTGCTGAAAGAAGAGTTACAAGCTACACAAAGGACCGAAAAAACGTAATGAAAAAACACTATGGTAACAAAGTTTAGTGGCCAAACCAACATGACTTTTACGAGATGACATTCGGTTATAACGTTAGAATTTCTCGAAGCTAATGTTTTCCTTGTAATTTACCATTACATACTTTTTTAAAACATTCCTAACACACTAAATCCAGTTGAATGAGAAATACTTCTACAATTTGATCACATTATCACTGCCAATCTGGTCCAAGATAGTTCGACTTGTAAAGGATGACATCCGTGAAGACAGTCAATTTTTTGATGCCGAACCAAACTGAATTCATTCCGTTCACTAGAAAAAAAAGAAGACTTTCTAAGGAGAAGGCGTGAGAATTGTACTTCATCTATACAGCGTACTATTCATCGACCAAGCTCAGTCAATTGCCGTTAGTAGAATATGAACAATATGAGCTTGTATCATCATCGAGAACTATCAGTTACACATCGAGTCCAGAAAATTCTAGATCAAAATCGAGGACTAGTTGTGTAATGCATGACAACTGAGATGAACGACAATGTCTCTACAAGATTAATCTTGATAGCTATCATTGATAATGTATATTCTTGATTTTGAGCATAATCAAAATAAATAAAACGATATTTATCACAATTGTAAAAGTTATTACGACTGCCTCTTTTTTTCTAATCTTCACAGCATAATATCTTGAGTGTGATTATATTAAAATGCTAGTCGAAAACGAATTCATATTTCTGTCATTTTGAACACTATCTATCTTTTTCATGCCGGCATTTTCATCTTTTGGGAGAATGAACTCACCCCTTTTGCAATTTCTCTTCACGTGTATGGTATCGAGAATATGATGAAAAATCCATCTTTGGCTTCTTTGTAGACACAATAAAGTGACTACCATACTAATCTTGAATTGCTATTTCTTGACAACTGATATTCTTCCTCAAGGACAACCACAGTAAACAAAACCAAATTTATCACAATAATGAAAGTTATTGCTATTGTCTTTTCTTTTCTAATCTTCAAGGCATATTATTTTACATGCACTTTGATCAAAATTTTAACTGACAACTAGTTCATAATTTTGTTATTGTAAACAGTGTCGACCTTTTCTATATCTATATATTGATCGGTCGAGAGAACAGCTCTACTAGTTTTCAATTTCTCTTCAAGTGTGCGGTAGCGAGAATCGATGAAGAGTGCATGTTGGCTTTCTTGTTTGTCTTCCAATCTGGTGTATTCATTCCAGAGTAGTATCTATCACTATTTTCTTCTTACAGTGATAGTATTAAGTGCAAGTAGCAGTGGATCCGAATGGAATATCAAATGCCGGTTTCCTGAGAACAAGAACGCCGTGTTTTGGACTGGCAAACCCGTTTCAGGCTTTGTCGACTTTGCTAATATTGATCATGCGGACTTGAAATTGGAACGTATCAACGCAGAATTGATCGGCGAATTTGTCCATAGTACTTCAAAGAAGCCAAACCAGACTCAATCGAAAAATTTCACTAACGTGAGACTCTTCAGTGAACGAATACTAGTACATCCGATCGGAACGCAAGGCAAGTTTCCTGTACCGTATGGCAGCCATAGTTGGCCCTTTCGTTTCCATTTAAATGACTCCTTACCGCCCTCGTTCAATAAAAACGATTCCAAGATGCCAATAATTAATTATTTTATTACTATTACATTTGTTCGACCTGAATTTTACAAATCAAACATAGAAAGAAAATGTCCTATTGTTGTTCAACATGCATCGTCACCTGTAAATGTGACAAAAGTCCAAGCAGAAAATGATCGAAAAGGTGTTCATTTACGTGTAATTCTCCCAGAAAATGCCGTTGCTGCTGGAAATAGTTTATCGTTTAACGTCGATTTATTCAATCCACGTCTAAAGAAAATAAAGCGACTATCGGTGGTTTTCAGTCAACAGCTAGAACTCGGGTCTAACGAAAAAAAGGTGATCAATCTTGTTAGTCGTGATCTGGAAAACATCAAGAACTTTAAAGGTAGACAGCTCAATGAAACCTTCCAACTGCAAGTGCCCCACACGGCTCTACCTAGCCTTTTTTTTCGTCTTCCTTCGAATTCTACTAAAAAGTCACTCACCGTACGCTACATCCTATACTTTGAAGCACATCTTAGTGGCTTTTTCACCAATGTCAAACTGTCATTGCCAGTGATTGTCACCAATCCGATACCGAAAAAAACAGATCAAACATAGTCGTTATCGAACTACCAATGTTATCTTTTTATAAAAGTACTTTGAAAACTAGATGAATACCACTTTAAAGCTAATTGAACGTACTTATAATCTTATTGATTTCAAGACTATAAGAAAATTTTTTTCCCTAGAAAGTATCCGTAATAAATTGTTTCTAGATTTGTGTACGATGTTGTTTCACATGGTGAATTTTTCTTGTGATGTATATGCATACAAGCATATGTCATAACTAGTGTTTATCATACAGTACGTTAAATATTTTTCTCAATCATGCTTCGAGCCATTTTACGCATGAAAATAAAGTCGTACTGAAGAGTTTTGAATTCATCAATGAGTCAAACTTAAAAGAAGTAGATAGTTCGTCTTTCTCAAGAATATAGAAATAGAGAACTATGGACGAAGAAAAAACACTTTCAACAATTGATGAAAAACATATGTAAACATCCAAAGAAAGTGATAGTTTATAGATGCCAACCATAGTGCTAGAATGATCAAAAAAATACAGTAAGAAAAACTTGACGCATAAAACATATTATTTTTTAGAGTTAAAACGTTCCAGAAAGCGATATATTTTACGTTTTCATAGCCGAATTTCAGACTTTACGTAATAACATTGTTTTTATCCATTTTATTACAACATGTATATAAACATTCGAAATTCGTCCACATATATAACTCTTCCATTATTTACTAATTTTTTCATGTACAATCATATACTTTTCGTACACGATATACGACTTAATTTGACCGGATTATGTTGTGTTATCATTTAGTAATGCTAGTATGGTTTTTGAAACATATAAAGAATCATGCTCCATATGCCAATCATTATACTGGCTTTCCTTCCGTAATCAACCAGTCAGACTCATTTGACGCTCGAGTCAAGAAAGTAATAAAACAGTGGAATCAACAAATATCTTCGAACTTAAAAAAATGATGGATATTGTAAATCCGAAAGAAAATCACTCGGCTTGTATACTATGCTTGAATAAATGTTTTAATAAATGATTACAAAAAGGAATTTTCATTAATGATTGAAAGTTATTAGAACTGATCAATCTAAACAAGATGAAATCTTGTACACTGTGATATGACTGGACTTGATCAAATCGCTCTTAGTAACTCATTCAGAATGAGATTCTCCTAAATTAAGTAAAAGAGTGATATGGTCTTGTTTAGTATAAAGATATAGTTACGAAATTATATTGTATCAAAGTCTTCTTGAAATTCATAAAACTAATAACAAATTAGGTAAGTAACCAGAAAGCGTATGTTGAATATAGAAATCAACGATCAAACAAATTTAGCATTAATATAGAACTTTCACAAGGAAACTTTGTAAGTACATATATTTTCATCATTTACCATTCAAACACTGTAAAATGTACTAATGCTTGCTTCATTCACATATTTGCTGACGACTTATGTACACTTATAATTCCACTAATGTAGAAAAGTCAGTCTACTAAGAATGTTAGAGTACCTCAATAGAAATTTGTTAAATTCTGTATGATTATGCTAGTAAATGAAAACAACCTATACACGCGTGGAAAAGACAATAGTACATTTAGATATTTAGGATTTATATGAAAGAATAAATTATTCTTCTCACCAATGATCGTATATTGAATAGCGAAAATTCAAAAATCATACACCAATGTATTGAGATTATGTTTCTTTGTGTAGATTTTTCTCCTCTTTCCCTCAGTACTCATTTCTCAGAAAACGCTTCTGGAACATAAATTCAGAATAGATGTAAGGTTAATACATAAATATTTCGCTAGTGAATTAGTATTATACGTTTCAACGTGTATACAAAAGCTTATTAACAGAATATTCGACTCTGATCTAAGCGAGTCGTTAGTTTATAACGATCTTTTCTACTATGATGTATTTATAAATCAGAGTAATAAACAGCAAACTCTTCTGTAAATCGTAATATCCTTTATGATTGATATACAAAGATTCTTTTTTTGGTTCATTTTATACAGTAGGATAAGGTTAACATACAATTTCTCTCTTCTATGTATCTATCTTTGTTTTTATCACATTTACTTTTTCTCCACTTTTTTTGTTGATTTTTTTTTCTTTTTCGTTTCTCTCACTCCATGTCATCATGTTATTGCAGGTATCAATAAACGTAATTCAATAAATAAATAAATAAATAAATAAATACATCTTACTACGAAAAAGCATTATTCTAGCTTTGCGTTACTTTTATTTTTTTCGTTCTTTTTTTCTTCACTATAGAAGATAGTAAACTTTTCTGAATAAGATAATGTGTAGCTTTTTGATTGCTTACTCAACCGAAACAGTATTTTTCATCTAAAAAGGGAAAACAAAAAGATATGACCATGCGCAGTTATACACAATTGTATCAACATGGAGTCTACGACATACACCGAAAGAGTAGAATCCGTTGACGTTGATGAAACAAATAAACCTGTGTTTGTTGATCGACGGCAATTACTCGTATGGCGCATATTTCATGGGACACACTTTTTGTTAGCTGGTCTTTGTTTCATTGCTGGATCATGTATGTATTTTACAACTGTCTATGGACCATATCCAAAAGCATTAGTAGCAGGTGGCTGGCTGTTTACTATAGGCTCTCTATTTTTTCTATTGGCCGATCTGCAAGAATGGGCTCACTATCTGCATAGCTACTGGTTTTGTTGTTTCCATCGTGAAGAATACGAAATTTCAAATTCCGATGTATTTCGACATACACGATCTTCACCACTTGGCCTATGGGAACGATCTGAAGTTGGAATTAATGTTTTTGCATCAGTATGTGGGTCAATTTGTTATCTAATCGGATCAATTTTTTTCATACCAGCATTAAGCAACTATTTAATAGCTGGTGATTGGTTATTTATTGTTGGTTCAGCTCTTATTTTCTTATCACAAGGTTGGAAAGTGTTCAGATTGAGTCGTATGAATCCTGATGACAAAACTGATCATAAATTTCGCTTTGCTAATATTTTAAGAGATGCACCAACTTTTTTTGCGGATACTTTTACAGGTTTTGGTGGTGTCTTTTATTTCGTTGGTACAATACTTTTTCTTCCTCGTTTTAATTTATCCGACTTTGATGAGAACAGAGCATCGATACTTTTTGTTGTTGGTGGCTGTTGTTTTACTCTTGGAGGTTTCTTTCTTCAATATATCTACTATTGTAGTCGTCATAAGTGAAACAATTTTAATTTTTTCTTTTTTTTGTTAAATCCAGAAGTCTTGCATGTGCTACGTCAGTATTCTATCAATAAAATTACAATTGCTCTTTGTCAGTTGGAAGAATTGAAAACATTAAAATATTGAATGTTTCAAATATACATTATTTCATAAGATCAGATAAAATTCTTATGCATAAGATTCTTGAAAATTTTGTTGCTCTTTCGTAAAAACGTATTATCTTCTATATATATATATATATCAATTGTCAGTTACAACAATGTGAAAGTGCTTGAATTATGAAAGAAAATAACTTTCAAAGATTGTACATCGATTAAAATGATCTTTATCATGCTGATATTAGATTACACTAACTAAATTATATTCAAATAAACAAATCTATTGATTCTAATAGTAATGATAGACATGAATTATTGTCTTATCTTTTTTTTTTTATTAATATATATGTATCTCTATATCGATTAAACATAAGTTATAAAAAAAGTAAAGATATATAAACAAAAAAAAAAAAATGCTCAATTTGATATTGCAATTAAAATGAAATAAATTTCAAAGAAAAATATAATTCGATTTTAGCACTTTCTAAGATGTTGATTGTGTATCTGGTGTTGATGGTAATCGTTCTGCTCGAACTTCAAATTGAAAATCGGTTTCATCTTTTGTTTCTTGATTATCTAATGCCTCATTATGTGTTATACCATTAGGCATAAGAGATTCTTTTAATAATTTTTCATTACAAAAATCACATATACGATATTGTGGTGAACTAAAATAGAAATAATTAGTTTCTTTTAATGAAATATTACTTAGGTCTAACTAAAAAAGTTCTGATCATACTTCTATCAATTTATATAAATCAGCTAATATTAAAAAGTTTTTTCTTTTTTATATAAATAAATAATACGAAAAAAAATTTTTGTATTCTATATTCTTATAATCAAGTCTATTGTCAATAAAATATCTTAATATTCATCTAGATAATATTAAATAATTTGACATAGAGAAGATATCTATTAAAAATATGATGACAAACTATTTTAAATATTAAATTCAAAATGAAATTAATTTCATTATTTTGATATTATCAGAACTTTAATTAATTATAAACTAACTTGGCTTTTGAACCTGGTATCCAATTATTTGAACAATTATAACAATATATTTTTTGACAATGTCGACAATGATGCTATTGAAAACAAAAATAAAAGATTTTTCTAATAGAATAAAATATACAAAAAAAAATAACATACTTTTCTTATAGTCCATCCAAATAATGTATTACATTTCATACAATTGAGAACATCTTCATCTGGTATCCATTTTCTTGATTGTTCTTCTTCAAGTTTTATTTCATATGAATGTAGAGAATTAAATAATTCAGCTTTTTCACTAAATAAAAATAAAATACAAAACATAATTTGTATTTTTTTGCAAATAATTTCTACCGAATAGCTTTTACTAAACGACGTTTCATTTCTTCAAAATCAAGTTTTATTTCATTGAGTGAAACTTCTAATTTTTCTTGAATATTATTTTGTTTAATCTTAAAAGAAAATATATATTTTTTTTTTTTTATTAAAAAAACATATTTGAAATTTACTCGTTCATTTTCCATTAATATTCGTTCATTTTCAAGTAATTTTGTTGACTTAAAATAATCAAAAAAATAAAACTTTTTTTTTTTTGTTTTCTATTACTTTTTCAAGTTCAATTTTTAATAATTCAATTTGTTTATTTTGTTCATTTGAATAAGATAAATTTTCTTCTTGCTAGAAATAATAAAATAAATTTATGAATATTAAATAAATTAAATATCATAACATACAATTAATTGTAAATGTTTTGTTTGTTCATCATATTTTTGTTGTAATTCATTAAAATGACTATCTTTATTCTCAATTAATAATTGATATTTGACTATATCATTTTCATAAGATTTTATTTTCTAAAAATATGAAAAATTTTTATTAAAAAAAAAAACAAAAAAGAAATATCATATAAACAAAACATTCTAGTTTTTCAATTGATAGAACAAATTTATATAAGAAACATATTTATATGAGAAAATAAAATGCTTTATGTATCCTTCGAAGAATGAGTATTGTGAATAAAAACTACATCAAAGAGATATTCTCATTGACAAAAAAGCATCGTCAAAATTATCCGGTCACATATAGTTTGGATTTTATTTCATACTCGAACATGCTAGAAGAAATGTAAATAGAGAAAATTGTTTCCAATAACAATATGATAAAATGATGATTATCGATAAATTCCCAAAAACGGAACATCCAGAATACCAAAACCCTGTTTTATTTCTCTAGATCAATAGAGCAACCGATTCTCTGCAAAATGAGACGTCCCCGAAATTTCTATGACCTTCCTATCAAAAGTTATAAGCATCACAAAAACCCAAAAAATGCAGTTTTTTGGTAGTTTTCTGATAAATTTCACAGTTTTTGGGTTTTTGTGATGCTTATAACTTTTGATAGGAAGGTCATAGAAAGTTCGGAGACGTCTCATTTTGTAAAGAATCGGTTGCTCTATCGATCTAGAGAAATAAAACGCCGTTTTTTTCGCGACTTTGGGGTGTTGAAAAAACAGGGTTTTGGTATTCTGGATGTTCCGTTTTTGGGAACTTATCGATAATCATCATTTTATCATATTGTTATTGGAAACAATTTTCTCTATTTACATTTCTTCTAGCATGTTCGACTATGATCCAAACTACATGTGGCCGGATAATTTTGACGTGTATGTTATTCAAAAAATTTTCCGATGGATAATAAACAGAAAATTCTGATTGTTGTAAAATTTCCTTTTGAATTATATATTTGACAATATCGAAAATGTCAAAATTAATTACCACTAAAATTTTAAAGTGTAACCATATTGAAATAGAGAGACAAGAAATTCTTTATTTTGCTTACATCTGTTGTTGTTAAATGCTGCATTGAAACAGAAGAAAGTTGAAGATTGAAATTAGTTATTTCTTCTTTTAATATATTAATTTCTGTTTGTAATTGTTCATTCTCATTAATTAATATATTATTATTATTATTATTATTATTATTAATTGATTCATTAGAATTATTTTCATTCATAGAACATTGAATTTCAACATCATTTGATACTACTGAATTTAATGAATTTATTTCTTGTAATTGTATTTCTAATTCTTGACATTTTTGTTTCCAATAAATTAATGTATTTTCAGGATCTTCATCAACAGATGATAATGATTGAGCTGAACTACCATCATTTATTGATGATTCAATATTCTAATAATAGAATGATTTCATATAAAGAATACAATATCTTTTTGATCATACTTGAAATAATATTGTTGAAATTGGCATTGAAGTTGAAGTATCTGGAACAACGGAAATAATTGATTGAGAATCAATACTATTCTACAAGATAATAGATTTACTAGAAAAAAAAAACAAAATTCAAATAGTATTTCTATACCATCGATATAAAACTTGATACACTATTATTTCTTATTCGTACTGCAGTATCCGATAATGTTTTTGGACGATTTTCAAGTGATCTACGAATAAATTTTTTTCTTTATCCACAAAAAAAAAACTGCGGTTTTGTTCCGCATTGTAAAAAACTGCCAAAGTCAGACCATTTATGTGTCTTTTAAAAACCAGTTGAGACCGCGGTTAGACCTACAAAAACTCAGGTCGGACTGCGGTTTTCGCCGGTTTCAAAAACCGCATCAACGGTTTGACTTTCGCGGTCATTTTTCCATGGGTAGTATCAAAAAAAAAAAGAAACAAACTCGATTGTTGGCCAACAAATATCAAGTTGATATTGTGAATGTGAAAGAAGATCATATCGAAGATCATTTAATTGATATAATGCTTGAATAATACGATTCATATATTTTGGTGTTGACCAAAAACATTCATCAATATAAAATTGACTAAAATTTAAAAAACAAAAGATTTTTTTCTTTTTTTCTTATCAAAATTTACTTATTATAAATAAATTTTACTTAACAATTTTTTCCATCATAAAACTTTGTTGTATAACATCACCTAAACGATGATGTTGTAAACAAAAACGAAGAAATAAACGTCCACGACCAGTAGAAGTTTTTACTTCTTGACTATTAAGAACATATAATATAGTATCATATAAAGCTTTACTTTCTTTAAGTGCAACAGAAAAAAAATTCCAATAATTTCGTTTATTTATATTATTATTTAATAATGATTTTCGATCTATAAAAAAAAAAATAATGAAAAGATAAAATATTAGAATTTTTTTTTTTTGTTTTTGGTTTATTTTACTTTTTAAATCAACTAGTAATAATTGTTCAAAATGTTGAAAAAATATTTGTAAATGAATATTTGTATCATCAATAACTGGTGGATGTAGATTATCATTTTCATTTATTAGTGTTGTATATTGAGAATATAAGGCATTGGTTTTTTCTATAATGATGAAGTTCATCTTTTTATTTTTTTTGATAGATTTTTTTTGTTAAATTTACCTTCAATTATTTCAATTGATCGTAATACAGATGAAAGTTTATGAATATCTTGTGTAGACATCTTCAATAACACATTTAGATATGTGACATAGGCTGTATAGGGACTTTGAAATCTAATATTACCTGTGCGTTTTTTTTTTTATTTAATAGAAAAAATTCAAGCATATCTATTGGTTGATAATTGTCATTTGATTTGGTATCTCGAGGTTTTTGATTGGTAATAGTTTTCGTCATAGGACAACATATGAGGTCGCTCAAGACTAAGAAAAACTGAAACTCCTAGCCTTAATTGAAGCGATTCCTTGATATTTTCGTATTTTTAAATAGTGAATAAGTAAGAATATCATGAAAAATTATTATCAAAAAATGTTGTAAAAGATAAAACTTAAAAGGTTCGAATATTCTAAATGATATATGAAAATTACAAGTTATTTATGAAATAAAAATAATCTTGTGTGTCAAAAATTTGACATTAGAATACAATTATATTGTAGCGTTAACTTAGAGTTCGTGATTTGTTTTTAGAATGAAAGATATTGAAATCACCCAGTGAAAAATATTTGCTTTAAAGAACGGGAAAGAAAGCGTTCCGTAAAATTAAAAACCCTTTTTTTTAAGGAAAAGAAGACGTTCCAACAAAAGTGAAAAGCGTTCCAAAATGGAACCTCTAAGAACACATTCCATGTTTTTTTGGAACGCATTCTTGGTCGTTATTGCCTGAATTTAGATTCGCTATAAGAGTTCTCGAAGAGAAATTCAGACACAATTTTTTGAAAGATCGATTCTGGTACAACTTGACAAGCACTATCCAATGGCATGCTCTAATTTTTCGTAGCTCAAACTTTTATTAAAAAGTATGACTAATTGAAGGTTTCACGTTCACCGCTATCATTTTTGAATCAAAAGTGACGTTAAATTCAGATGAAAGCGTTCATCAGTCAAAAGAAACCATTCTCAGATGTTTCTCAAGAGAATGTTAAAAAAAGCGGTCTCATTTCAATGGAATCCTATCTTGAATGTTTCGAAATAGAATGGGCAGTAGACACGTTCTATTGGCTCATGGAACGGTTCAGAACGCTTTCTATCCAGATAGAGAACGATTTTTGAACTGAGAAGAAAGTATTCCGTACTAGTGTGGAATAGTGGCGAAACCAGGATTTTAACGGTGGAGGAGCTCAGTTGGTCGAGCTCTAAGTCGGTGGTGGGGCTTAGCCCCACCTGGCCACCCCCTGGTTACGCCACTAGTGTGGAACAGTAAAGAATAAGTTTCTTTAGACTCAGAACTTTTCTTTTTGTTTGTAAAAACGTTCGCTAAGCTGTAGAACACATTCTTCATGTAAAAGACAAATCTCTACATTTTCTTCCGTTATTTTTAGAAATATTTTTTGACTGGGCAGTTTGCGAGAAGGTTTTCGTATCCTAATAGAGAGTATCGAAAGTGCTAATTCGAAGTAATATTTTTCACAATTCGAAAACGATTTTTCATGGTTACATAAAATATAAATGAATATATTTTGAATAATAAAAGATTTTGTAATGTATGATAGTGACATCTATTATTTATATTCTTATTATTAATATGATTCTTTTACTGGTATGGTTAACTAATGAATCTCATTTGTATTACACAAGAATATTCAAGGAGTACATTTTATTGTTTTCTATCGTTTGTACAAAGTGCATGGCATCCAATAATGATGATAATCTTGATCAAAATGATTCCGAACGTGATTTATATGCTATATTACATATTAGTAGAGATGTACGATAATAAACAAAAAAACAATATCTTATTATATTTAATAATATAATATATTTTAGGCAGATACAACTACAATTCAACAAGCTTATCGTCGATTAACACTTCTTTATCATCCTGATAAACATCAAGATTTACGTACTAAACAATTAGCTATGAATTTATTTATTCAAATTAAAAATGCTTATGATATTTTAAATGATCCAGAAAAACGTGCTATATATGATATTATTGGAATGAAAGGTTTAAAAACTGAAGGATGGGAAGTAAGAAAAAAATATAATAATTATTTTTAATTATAATATTATATTATAGATAATAACTCGAACAAAAACATCTCGTGAAATTCTTGATGAATATGAACGTCTTATAAAAGAACGTGAAGAAAAACGTTTTAATCAAATAACAAATCCAAATGTTTGTTTAAATATTTAAATAGTTTGTTTTGTTTTTTGTAATATTTATTTCATTAATAGTCGTCTGTATATGCAACAATAAATTTAACAGATATATTTATAAATGATGGTTTACCAAAAATTGAAATAACAGATTTTAATGTTGAACAAAATATTGATATTTCATTAACAAATCAAGATACAACAACAATAAATGCTAATGTTACAATACGTAATGGACGTGGTATAGGAACATTAACAACATCATTTCGACGTATTTTTTCAGATTTATCTTGGTTTCGTGTAAGAAATATTTTATTCATTTTTCGTTTTGTAAAAAAAACTAAGTTTCTTTTTTCTTTTTTTTAGATTGATTTAATATTTGGTCAACGTCCTTATATTGGACTTTATTATTTTCGTCGTATAACACAAAAACTGTAGGTAAATAAAAATTTATTCTACGAAATTTTTTTATTAAAATTTAATATAATTTTCTCGTTAGTTTAGTCATGCAAATGTTCATACAACATTTAGTTTAATTAAAAATCGTAAAACTATAATTACATCGGGTTTTATTTTTTCATTAAATTATCAATTAACACATAATTTAACAAGTAGTTTACAATGGAAAACAGGTCGAAATTCATTTATGAAAGGTATATTACAATATGATAAACAAAAATGGATGATTTCAAGTGCAATTCAAGTTTGTTCTTAATATTGTTCTTTTTTTTGTTTAAATTTAGTTCAATAAATTGTTTTTTTCTTTTCAGCTTGGATTTGTTAATACATTTGCAGCAATTGATGGTGTTTATAAATTTCCTGATATATGTAATCTACGATGTAGTCTTAAGTAAGATTTATTTACTAACAATAAATAAATACAGCAAGATGTAAAAATTTTTTGAATTCATTATTAATTTTCGTTCAAGATCAAAGTAGGACTTATTTTAATCCGTTTGGGATAAAATTTTCAGAAACAAATGATCGTAGTGAAAAATATTTTTAATTACAAATTTTAGTCCGATATGTTAAATTAGACAAAACTTCTGGCATATCTGTCCAATGCGCAATTTTGTGGAACTCACGTATGTTTTCGAAGACAAATAGTGAGTGTAAGTTTTAAGTTCAAGGTTTTGCGGCTCCTTCGCCCCCTCCCCTTACAGACAGGCCCTCATTACAGATCTTAGCGACCAGGTTTTAAATAATGGATATACATATATATATGACAGTTTCATTCGGCATATAATTCAATGCTTCTTGTAATAAGAATGTAAAATTAAAGAAAAAAAAGTAATGTCAAACATGAAAAATAAGGGCGCCTGTCAGAAAATTAAAAACTTCGTGATTTTATAATGCATATTAGTATAATGAAGCTGAAGAATATACGTGAGTTTCACATTTTAGCTCCAATGGGGCTACGCTAACAAGCTTTTTTTTTTTGATAATCATTTCAGTATACATGAAAGTCGAAATAAGCCAAAAACAATGCTACTGTATGACATTAAATTTCGTTTTTCTTATTGTAGAAATAAAATATGAAAAAAAAAAATCTGGTCGAACAAAATATTGGGATTATGTGAAGTCCGACGGAAGTTATTTTCATTTTCCTAATCGAAAAATAATAAATAAGTTTAGAAATCAATTTTTTTGTTTCATTCAAACCTAGAAATAATCGGATATTGATAGAAATAGCAAAATAGTCTTCTCAAAAAATATCAAAAACCGAATAGTGCGTTAGAAATCTCCTACGAAGATTTGTTAAAATTTAGCCTTTTTTTAAAAACCTATATATATTCTGAAAGAGGAAACACTTCGTTGTATTTTCCTATGATAAAAACTCAACTTTCATCACATTACAAAAAAAAAAATGAATTTTCTGAGAGGAAGTTTCCGTTAAAGAAAGAAAAATTCATTCAATATTCATCTATTATTTTTAAGATTATTTTTATTTGGTCCATGGATTGAATATGGTATTGATCGTCAATTAACTAAACATACATATGGTTCAGCAACAGTTGCAATCAGTGCAAGAATGGGTGTACTATTAAGATTAAAGTATGTTTGTTTACATTATTCAAATAAAAATAAATAACAAGAAGAAATACAATTTTAGATTTATTCGTGGTAGTCAAACATTCACAATTCCATTACCATTATCTCAAGATATTTTACCAAGTGCTATATTTTATGCAACAATTGTACCTACTCTTGCATATCTTATATTTGATCGATTGATTATTCAACCATATGTTCGATTAGAAGAAGAACGGTAAAAAAAATTAGTATTGTTTTTTGTTTTATGTAAATATAGAATTAAAATTTTTCTATAGTGAACAAAAAAAACGTGAAGATGAAGTACGTGAAAAACAAGTTGAACGTCGACGTGAAGCAATGAATGCTCAAGAAGTTCTTCGATCATTTGTTGAACAAATAAAAGAAAAAGAAGGTTCACATGGTTTAATTATTCTCGAAGCATATTATGGTCATTTATTAACATCAATAATAAATGAATCATCATTAAAAATAATTGATGTTCGTATACCATTACAAACATTAGTTAAAGATTCAACATTAAAAATTGAAACAACAGTATCAAAATCAAATTTAACTGGTTTTTATGATCCATGTATAGGTGAAGAAAAATTCTTATTTATTAAATATTCATTTCATTCACATATACATACAGTTACATATAAAGATACAGATCCTATTATATTACCAAATCGAAGTATGAAAAAAAAAAAATCTTTCTATAGTATAATCGAATTGTGTTTTTTGTTTATTACAGATCATTTAATATTGTAAAAATTTTATTTTTACCTAACGAGTAGGTCAATATATTTTAAAATTAAAAATTATGTTTTATATCATTTGTAAAATTTTAGTTGATCTTTGAATAATTTATTTAGTGGAATGAAAAATATAAAATGCAGCCATTCATTATTTTATATTAGGTTGAATTAGGATTTGGTTTTATTTCCTATATGTATTATTGTTTGTCTTTTTTTTTAATATTATAATACAGCATGTTTTTATACTAATCTGAATGATATCTGTTGTTTTGTAGATGTTTCTTCGTTCTATTCTTTGTATTAATCGATATTCTCTCATATCAATTTTTCGTACTCATACAATATCATCAAATACAACACATTTTGGTTATGATGAAATACCTGAAAATGAAAAACAAAATCGTGTTAATGAAGTTTTTTCATCTGTTGCTGATAAATATGATCTTATGAATGATATTATGAGTTTAGGTATACATCGTATATGGAAAAATTATTTTATTCAAATTGTTCGTCCTAATCCACAATGGAATTATATTGATGTAGCTGGTGGTACAGGTGATATAGCATTTCGTTATTTAAAAGAACTTGATCGATATTATCCATCATCTTCAATATCATTACCAGAACCTCCAATTACTCCAACACATTCATATATGGCAGAATCTATTGAACAAACACGTATTTATCCAACATCAAAATGTGTTGTTGCTGATATAAATTCAAATATGCTTACTGTTGGTAAACAACGTGCATTAGATAATAATTATCATAATCGTATACAATGGATTGAAACAAATGCTGAAGAATTACCATTTCATAATGAACAATTTGATATGTATACAATAGCATTTGGTATAAGAAATTGTACACATATTGATCGTGTTGTATCTGAAGCATATCGAGTATTAAAAAAAGGTGGAAGATTTCTTTGTTTAGAATTTAGTCAAGTTAATAATACATTATTACGTTATTTTTATGATCAATATTCAAAAATATTTATACCACCAATGGGACAAATAATAGCTAATGATTGGAAATCATATCAATATTTAATTGAATCTATACGTATTTTTCCTAAACAAAATGAATTTGTTGAACTTATACGTTCATGTAAATTTCGTTATGTTAATTATGAAAATTTATCATTTGGTATTGCAGCTATTCATTCAGGATATAAACTTTAGAAAAAAAAATAAGTTTATTTTAGATAAAAATTTTTTTTTAGAAAAATAATTCAATGGCTAGTGTAACTGGTCGACGTTTTTTTGTTGGTGGAAATTGGAAAATGAATTATTCAAAAACTATTTTAGAAAAAGTTAATAATGCATTGAATAATACAAAAGATATTGATGGTGAATTGATTAATTTTTCTATGACAAAATTCAAAAGAAAAAAAAAATATTATTTATATTTTAGTTGATATTGTATGTGCACCACCAGCTCTTTTTATAAAAGATTTTATTTCATCAAAACCAGCACATGTTCAAGTAGCTGCACAAAATTGTTATCATGCTAAGGAAGGTGCATTTACTGGTGAAATTAGGTAAAAAAAACGAATTTTTATCATTTAAAGTTTTGAAATACTATATTTTTTTTCTGTTAGTCCGGAAATGTTAAAAGAAGCTGGTTGTAATTGGGTTATTCTTGGTCATTCAGAACGACGAACATTATTTCATGAAGATGATGAAGTAAAAGAATATTTTTTTTGTTTTTTACATAATTCTATTTCAATGATTTTTTTTTAAGTTTTTGAAAAAAAAAATTGATTATGTTCTCAATAAAACTGATGTTAATGTTATTGCTTGTATTGGTGAAACATTACAAGAACGTGAAGCTGGTAAAACAAATGAAGTTGTCGAACGACAAGTTAAAGCTTATCAAGGTACATATTATTTTAGAAAGATAATATTTGTCTCAAAATAGAAAAGAATATAGATCATATTTGACTTGTTTTTGTTTTAAGAAAAAATTGCCAATGATCAATATAATCGTGTTGTGATAGCTTATGAACCTGTTTGGGCTATTGGTACAGGTAAAGTTGCTACACCTCAACAAGCACAAGAAGTTCATCAACATTTACGAAAATTTATTGAACAAAATGCAAATGCTGATATTGCAAAAAATATTCGTATTATTTATGGTGGTAAGAATGTTTTTGTTTTTGGTATAATTAATTCTATATTCAATTAAACCATAGGTTCAGTTAGTGGATCAAATTGTAAAGAATTAGCTCAACAATCTGACATTGATGGTTTTCTTGTTGGAGGTTAGTTATTTATCAAATTTAACTTATAATCATTTAAATTTTGTTTATTTTTAAGGTGCTTCGCTCAAACCAGAATTTGAACAGATCTGCAAATCACGTCAAAATTAAAATAACATATGACATTATTTTTTTTCTTAGTTCAGTTTTGTCCCTTAGCTTAGATAAACAACACACACACACATATATATGCTTATTACTAGTCCTTTTTATTAATTTAAATTCTTTTCTTAGCTAGTCATTCTTCGAATTAAATTAATCTTATACATCAAGAAAAAAATAATTTCCTTTTCTTTTTTTTTTCTCTTGTAGATCTATTTTATCATGGCAACATCAAATGAATTTAAAGAACAACGTTCAAATCATAAACGAAAACGTGAAATAAATGAAGAAGATAATATTCATATGGATACAGAACAAAATTCATCAATACAATTTCCACAATTAAATCCAATTCAATTAAAAGTAAAAATTTTTTGTTATTAATAAAATAAATTTCGAATTATATTTTATCTTAAAGGATGAAACAGATGATTTTCGTAAAGTACAAATACCTGCACATCGTTATACACCATTAAAAGAACAATGGATGAAAATTTATTCACCTATTGTTGAATATCTTCATTTACAAATACGTTTTAATTTAAAAACACGTTGTGTTGAAATCAAAACATCTAATCAAACTGAAGATATTCAAGCATTACAAAAAGCTGGTAAAAGGAAACAAAAAAAAAATCAAAAAAACAAAATTTTATTCGTTTATTTTAGCTGATTTTGTTAAAGCATTTGCACTTGGTTTTGATGTTGATGATGCGCTTGCATTAATTCGTCTTGATGATCTCTTTCTAGAATCATTTGAAATTAATGATGGTAAAAGATAAAATACACATAGGCTACTTTATACTATTAAGCTTTTTTTTTACTTATAGTTAAACCATTGAAAGGCGATAATTTATCGAGAGCTATTGGACGTATTGCAGGTAAAAATGGTCGAACAAAATTTGCAATCGAAAATGCAACACGATGTCGAATTGTACTTGCGGAAGAGTATGTTTATTAAAATAGAATAATAATTATTGAAATAATTCTATTCTTATTTAGTAAAATTCATATTCTTGGTTCATATCAAAATATTCAAAATGCACGAACATCAATTTGTAATTTGATCCTAGGCTCACCACCATCAAAAGTCTATGGAAAATTACGAACTGTAGCAGCAAGAACAGCCGAAAGTTTTTGAAAAGAAAATTCATTTCTGTTGTTATTTGTTATTTGCTACTGTTTTGCATATTAAAAAAAAAATTGGACAACGATATATGGAAAAATAGATCTTTCGTCTGGAAAAAGTTAGAAATAATTCAGACCTCTCTCAGGTCACAGTTTCAAAGCATTTTAAGCATCAAACTATCGTTGGTTCGTTGTCGACATACGGATATTGCTGAGAGAAGGTGTTTTGACAGTGTATCAAAGAATTAACTGTATAAGATCTAACGAAGAGTAGGTTAAATATTATTGTCTAGTTTTCCTTAGATACGCACAATAGTTTTGAACAAAAGAAGTCTATCAGTGGTGACAACAGAGAAAAATCTGTTTTTTTTTCATTTGTTCCAAATATATTCATATACGGAACACTAATATAGATATTTATTTTAATATGAAATAAGTTAATATCTATTGTCAGTGTCATAGGATTATTCAATATTCGAACAAAATGGAAGATCATGATATTGAATATATCGTCAAGATAAAAATATTATTTCAATTGTATATAAGATCAAAAAAAAAGTTTCTTTTACATACATGTGACTATGTCAAGGAATTGATGAAACGATAAGTATAGCCCGGCTAGTAAATGACTGTCATATTCGTGACGTTCGGTTATTATTATTGTCTATGAATATAAATGTAACATCTCAAAATAAAGTTTACTAAATGTAAAATAACAATGCTGGAGAAACGATGGTGGTGTAATTGGTATTTCATATCATCAAAAGAAGAATACTAGTAGAATAATCAATCATTGTGAGTTTATTTATCTCTTCAGCTACTAAACAAAAATTCTATTTTAAATTATTTGGAAGACTTATTTAAATGTTAATTTTTTTCGTGGAAAGATTGTTTTTTTTTTTCGAACAAAAATTAGATTCATATAGATTAAGAAAACATAATGAAATGACTCTTTACAAATTTTGAAAAATTCTCTGTATTGTTCAATTTTTAGATTTTCTTGACGGTATTGTATACTCTGGTCAAGTATTCTAATTTACTTTTGTTTTGTCATACTGTTGCTTTTAATTACATTTAATCAATATGTTAGTCTTTTTAATATGTTCGTAAACATGATTCTGGCATGTTTTCTTGCTCTTATTTTTGATATTTTATGTATTGTTATGAAGAATGGTTGTGATTTCAACAAGAACAAGAACAATAACAATCTTTGATATTTGTTTTATATTTCGCTTTTAGGAGCTTGAGGGTGTTGGTGTGAGTAAAGATACGACTCTAATACCAAATCCATACACCCTCACCATAATTAAAAAAAAAACCAAAATATTCGAAAATTTACTAAATGTTCTGCTCTTCACGTTTTCTATATTATATTTTTCATTGATTTACTGAAAGTTTTCCCTAGAATATACTGCAGAATTGCAACCGGTCAAGAATTTTCGAACCAAAACGGTGTGGCGCCCGTCTCATCTGCCCGAGCCCATTATACTCCTCATAAACTAGACGAGAGATTTGTAGATGTATTATACTATTAATAATTGCGCAGTTTTAATAGACATTTACAGTGATAGACTGGTAAGTAAAGTTATCACATTTGTAAATAAGTAAAAAGATAGGATGATTGCTTAATATATAGATAGAAGATCTTGAGATCGGGTAACTTTTATCTGAGCAAACCCGATCAAGTGAGATCAAACATAAATCTACAACACCTCACACCCACACCCCTCGACTTCCAATAGAATGTTAAAATATTTATTCACAGTTAAGAATCGACACTATGAATAATGCGGTGAACGTTTAGATATGAGTTCATTGTCATATTGTATCGTTCTAATCATCACTATCATTTTCAAATTTTGCCGTAAATTCTTTCATATCAAATGGATGTTTTGAACTGAATGTTTTTGTTGTAGCATAACTCTGTTCATTCGATGCTGTAAAAACATTCGGATTATTTTCACCATCATAACTTTCTAAATCGGAATCATTATAATCATCGTCTTTTGTAACTATACCACATTCTTTTTTCCATTTTGCCACATCGCTCTTACTAAATTTACCTTTCTTTGCATCATTCCATATTTTCGCATACGTATCTGTTTCAGAATCAATTCCAAAACTTTCTTGTTTCCATTTGGCTAAATCAGCTGGATCAATTTTTCCTTTTTCTTGTGAATCTTTAAACATTTTATTATAGGCATCATTGTCATCATCTTGGTTTCCAACTATCTTCTTTTTGACTGAAGTATGCGTGTGTGACGTCTTATACGATTTTTTCATTGTCCATTTCACTTCATCCTCTTCTTCTACATCAATTTCAGTAAAAACACTAGCTTTTCCACTTGATTTTCGAATACTTTTTACTTTGAATGAAGCATATGGCAGTATAAGAACTTCTTTCTCAACAGGATATTCCGAGATATTTTCAATAGCTAGAGCTGTACCAGTATGCTTGATCGAATATTTACAAACAACTTCAAAAACTGTAGATGATCCATCTGATACAGCAAAGGACTCAGCTCGTGTTCGTTCTTTTGATGTACTCAGAAATGTCTTATTCATAAATACGGAATCAACGACATAGTCCTGCAGATCTTCTAATGACATGATCATTCCACGGTAAGTTTCACCTGTAAATGAAAAGCTTTGAAACACAGGATGAAACAGCATTATTGATGCAATATTTCGTTCATGTTTAGTTCCAGACCAATGAGTTGGCATTTGGGCGAGGTCTGTGTTAACTCGATGGTAAAAGCCACTCTCTGCTGTATAAGCACGAACAACCTGCGTTGGATCATTGTTTTTAATTGCTGTATCAATAAACAAACGAACTGATTCAATATGTTTTACATCGGCCAACGGTCCATTCTCATTGATATAGTACTGCTGAATTCCACGGCATAAACGATCAAATTCTTCGTCATTTTGACACTTCCATAAACTTTCACGATTGAATGAAGCATAACTCGAAGGATCACTTTTGACGAAGATCCATTCATATGATGGACCTTTTACACCAGCAAATCGACTTCTGGATTCCGCTTCAGCTCTTTCCATACGTTGAAATAACTTTTTTATATCTTCTGTTTTAGCTTCATCATACGGTGTGCAACCATGAACATTTTTAATCATGCGTTGAGCACCTTTCGATAAAAGCAATTTGACTACTTCCTTATTTCCATAGTAAGCAGCAGCATGTAGAGCTGTGGATCCATTTGGTTCAATTTGATTAATTTCTCCGAGCGTAAGTGTTGATAGTAATGAAGTAACTGAATCGATGTCGTTGTTTCGACAAGAAAAATAGAATTTACTTGGTTTCACAGTTGTCGATGGTGTAATGGCAGAGTCTTTGACAACGGAGGCTGTGATGTGTAACTGTTTTTCTGGTTTTACACTTCCAAGTGAATGAGATTTTGATGATGAAGCTCCTACACTACTTGTTTTCGAAGTTGTAACGGTATTTTTTGATGTGACTTTTGAAACTGAGGAAGTACCAGTCTTTGGCTTAGGCTTTGCTGCAGACATCTTTTCGTTGATAGCTATGCATTTTGAAATAGAAAAATTTGATTGATTCAATAGCTAATTGATATGTCTCTTCTATCGAGTGGTTTTTCATTTTATGAAACGGATATACTATTTAAAAATTAAACAAATGGGTAGTTGGTGGTTATTCTGAGACTATGGATGCAATGAGAGACGGCACATTGTAAGAAAAAACACCGTAAAATAATTAATCTTTAAAAAGTTTGCGATACACTTTACACTTTCACAAACCCTTTGTAAGAGTGCATGAACTTCATAACCGTTTTCAAACAACCTTGAAATCAACTATCAAAAGGCTATTTAAGAGGTTTCATGAAGATTCTGATTCGTACCAAGGTTTATGAAAGGATATATAAAGTCCTATAAAGAAACGTCCAAGGCGATACCAAGCCTAAAGACAATTTCTGAAGGAGTAAACGGAAGCCTTTGTTTTATGAACTACACAACATTTACGAGAGAGTTATCGAAACGGTTGAAAACTAACAAAAGAAAATAACAAAATTATCTTCTTTCGTTTTCGCCATGAAACATTTCACCACTATCAACAGAAATAAATCAAGAAGGAGATAATTAGAATCTCACGCGGACAAAAAAAAGGTGCCTTTTTCTATTTCATTTTCGCATTACTTAATGCGTTGTTTTAAAAAAACAAAATATACCACAAGATGCAGCGTGAAAAGCTCTACAATTTACGCAGAACAGTTTATCGAAAAAAGAAGAAAGGAATTTCTCATTGATGTAGAAAAATGATCCTCAAGCAGCGCCGAAAATTAGTCGCACAGAATTTTGTGTTTTTTTGAAAACAAAAGTACACAATTAAAATAAGGTTTACTTTGTAGATTGTAGAGCTTTTCATGCTGCATCTTGTGGTATATTTCGTTGTTTTTTACAAAAGCGCATTAGGTGATAAAAAGATGAGATAATATGAGATAAGAAAAAATGTTTTTTCGCAGCGTCGAAAATTGGTCGCACAGAATTTTACCTTCTTTGAAAACAAAAAGTACAAAATTAAGATAAGGTTTACTTTGTAGACTGTAGAGCTTTTCACGCTGCATCTTGTGGTATATTTTGTTTTTTTAAAACAACGCATTAAGTGATGCGAAAATGAAATAGAAAAAGGCAATTTTTTTTGTCTGCGCGAGACTGCACAACATTTACGAGAGAGTTATCGAAACGGTTGAAAACTAACAAAAGAAAATAACAAAATTATCTTCTTTCGTTTTCGTCATGAAACATTTCACAACTATCAACAGAAATGAATCAAGAAGAAGATAATTAGAATCAAATAAGTTTACCGATTCTCCTTCAAAGATGGTAGAACACTATCATGATAAATAAACCAAGAAAAATAACAATAAAAAGAATTCTATGCGATTCCATTTTGATCATCACATACTTATCAGCTGCGAGTAAACTAACGTATCGAAGTTTTTTTCGTAGAACGGTCGGTAGTTGTCGTAATAATTAATTAAAGGCAAAAAAAGTAAATATATTTTTTCACTTCTTTTTTTTTCTACTAAAGTGAGCGTCAATATCGGGGAAACTAAATGAAGAACGAGAAAAGTGAACTAAAGTAACTTGCTCACTTTCTTTTGTAAGATGCAGGATAGCTATTACCATAGATATTAGAGAAAAACATAACTATAGTAACTTATCGTATTGGTCGCATAATATTATTAAAAACTACCGAGGCATTTAAATGAAGAGGAAAGAAATCGAATGAAATCATTTTATTTAGTTTCTGCGATAAGATGCTGAAGAATGATAGTAATAACTGAATAACAAAAAGGAAACTGAACTAAATTGTCTTGCTGCATTCCTCTCATGGAGATCTGGACTACTATCAGAATGACTTCATCATTAAGAAAAAAACGTAAAATGTTCTACCTTTATGCGTAAGAATAATAAACGCTCCTGATAAAAACACAGAATAATGTGGTTTTGTCGCAAGAATTATAAACCTTTTTTTCTCAAATCGTAGAATAATAAATCCTTAAATATGCATTATATACCATTCTCATTTTCATATATCCTGGCTGTTACAGACCCTTCAAAAGTTAATGGAGAATTTTTTAAAGTCCTAGGGTTGATGATTCTGCGGCTTTTTTATGATGTGTGGGTGGGTGTGAGTCGATCTTGTAGGATGGTCTCTTCATTCTTATTTTCATCTATCCACTCTCATTCTTCATGAAAATCTCTCTTTCAAAAATGTATCACTATCAGCGAAACAAAGCAAAATCATAGAGACATTCAACTAAATCGGTTGGGCACCGATCCGAAATTCTTGGATTTCATGATTTATATTGTGAACAACTTAAAGCATACTAGCCACCGAGCACAGACAATAGAAAAACAATGCTTTACATCTTTTGAGGTAACTTTTCAGTTCAAATAAGAAAATTTTATTTAAGATGTTAGAAGTACCAGTCTGAGTTCCAGAAGTTGTAATAAACAGGGTTTGGGAATCTCTAAAAATGTAATATGCGAGTCTTGTGCTCGGTTTCAGTTTGAACAAGAACCAATGTGGATCAGATTTCAGTCAAAAAATTTTGGATCTGCCAAGTTTTAACGATCGGACCAATAAAATTGAGTTGACACTCATCTTTGTATTTTGCTGATATTTTGTGGCTTTGTCACTGATATGTGTGTGTGACAATGACCGATGTGTTGAATAAATATATTCTTTTTCTCTCACACACGATATATATAAGCCACACAACTTTCTTGCAATGTTAACACTAGATTGTGCACAGAACAACCATGCAATGTTTTCTCAGCAGTCACTTGAAGAAAGGTGGCGAGATGCAAGAATACTTGAAGATTCGGTGAAGCCAAAAGAAATAATTGGATATGTCTACGACATCGCGAGTTAAAAAAATCAGGCTGGCGCTCATTCTAAGAAAAATTTTACAATTTTCATAGCATCGTTCGACTGAAATCGATACGACTATTTGCATTTTTCTCTTAACTCTTGTTGATCATGAAAGGAAATGCATTCCATTTTTTCTTTGTCTCTATATGACGTAAATTTTTAATGTTTGATAGACATCACCCAATTCACGAGTAAAGCCTTTCTAGCATCATTTGATCGACTTTCTATTTTGATTTCATCATGAATTACCTAATTATCTTCCGATGATCGCCATAATAAACAAAGACAGAGAAAAAAGAAAACTTGGCACAAATATTTTCGATTTGTTTAGTAGACTTGAGAATAGGATTAGGCCATTTTCGTGAAGGACATTTTAAGACCAAAGTTTACTTTGATGGAAGACATTTTCTCAAAGATGAAGTTCATCGATTCTAACATGATCGAATGAATTCGTAATCGATCCTGAGTGAGAATATCGATGTAGTCTTAAGAAATGAACTTTCTTAAATTTTCATATTTCGTCGTCTGATCGCAAAGCGCTCTAGAAATATACATACGTTTTTAGCTTTGAATCAGTATGTTGGTTGTGTTACATATGTCATTTAGAAAGAGAGAAAAAAGTTGTTTCATGCATCTACCCTTTTCCTTTTTTCGTTGAGAGTCGATGCTATCGAACACAACATACTTCAACGATGGCCTTCATTTGCATAGCAAATATACGACAAGAAAATATACAATGGTGCATTTTGTTTGTTGTCATGAATGTGCTTTTTTCCAACTTTCAAAAAAACAAAACAGAGTCAATGCACAGGTAAAATGGCCTTAAATCAGTCAGCGTTGAGAGCCATGCAATGGTGCTGAAGACACTTTATGCGTAAACGAATGTCTCACATAATGCAATCTAGCGTGATCAACAATAGCATAACTACATGTTCTGAAATGTTGTTCGAGCAAGTGTATGTGTTGGTGGGTATGGGTGTAGGTGTGGAATACGAAGAAAAGATCTACACCAACCCACACTCACATCCACCTACACCTCACACTCACACCCGAGCCAGACATTATTTTGCTGATTATCTCTTTTTGATCTAAAAACAATATAAAATCATTTAAGGTAAAGAAAAACAAGTGAATATTAGGTCGAATGAAAATGTTTAAATAAAACAATAAATAAACAAATAGAATGGTAAGCACATGTGTTCCTCTACAATGACTTCATTTAACAGATATACATATAGTTATTTCACATATCTAATTTTTTCGTTCGTCTTTCTGACTTTATCAATCATAGAATCATTCGTTTGTTGTCAATAAATTGGTGAAAACATGTTTTAAACTAAATATGAAATTCGTTGAATCTCTGACACTTTGTATTGAAGAAAAAAAAATGCAAGCATACTTATACAATGGATAGTGTGGTTAAGGATTACCAGGGAAAAAAACCTTTCAATACAAGAACAAAATCACTCAAATCGTCTAAAA